CCTGTCTTCTTTCTCTCTTTGAACTTAAGGCACAATTGCCAACCTCCTTCATCTTCTCTATTACTTCGTCCGTTACAGAATATAAGAAGTTTTAGAGTTGTACACGATTATTAAGAAATTAGGTAGACGTGAATGGTGAAGGGTTGTGATTGGATGAGTAGTGGATGTAGGTGGGAAAAATAAATGGTGGAGGGTTGTAATTGGTTGGGAAGAGAATGTTGATGAATAAGTTATTATATTTTGAGACTGAGGGAGTAACATATATCCTCCTCATGCCACGGAATCACATTTGATAGAGGATAGCGCTAGTATCTACCTCGTCTAAATGCCGCTTTCGACTCCACCACCATGGCCTCACATTCGGGCCGAAGGGTAGCTGCCATGGGTGTCCTAACCACATGGAGTCCATTCCCTACCCCATCGATGTGATATTGTGTTCGAGATGGATGGCCAACCGACCATCATGGAGGATAGATGCAGACAACACCATCTGCTTCGTCAGTTTATCTGCATGACCAAGATCCTAGATGGCAAGCTTGATCCACTATAGCTACGACTCTCCAAGTACGGTTCCTTCACCCTAATGTTGAATGGGAGTAGCTACCTAATGAAATCTTTGTGATATAGATGGAAATTTATCTTCTTTTGAACTTTTTTGCAAACATGGATTGATTGGATATTGGAGTAGCACATTAGAGTCTAGAGCAAACTCTATCAGGCCTAGCCGCCTGACCCGAGCCGAAGGTTTAGCTCAAATTAAACCAGGTTTGACCCAAGTCTGCCTGGAATTTGTGAATAGCTAAAGTGGTCCTCCAAGTTTCATTTGAGGCTCAGTTTAGTCCTTGATGTTTCAATCTATCAATATTAGTCCTTCAAGTTTTCATTTTAGTTCAAACTTATCCTTGAACCAACAACTCTCTTCATAAATGACACTTATACCCCCCATCATTCACATATATAAGAGAAAAATTGCATGCTTGAATTTTTTATAGATAATACATAATATATTATGTAAAACGAAAACAAATTATGTACTAACAAGTGCATACAATAGCAACTGCTTAAGTTTCATGTGCACATGTTGAAATAATGGCAAGTACATCTGTAATGTTGTTTATTCATGTTGGCTTTCTCTTTTCTAGTATATAGATGTATACAAATTAAGGGCAAAAATGACATTTTCTAATAGAAATATTGACTAGAAATAGCCATTTGGTATATTAAGTAGACCCAAGGATGATTTCAAGCCAAAACAAATATTTAAAGGACCTATGTGGACAAAATGAAACGTGAAGAACCAAATTGAGCCTTCGCTGAAACTTGAGGGACTAAATTAGCTATTCATATAGCTCAAATTGCCTCGGGACCCAATCCAAGCCCAAGCTTGACCCAGCCCGGCCCATAATTATAGACTAGATAAGGTATTACTAAATTCAGATCGATTTTGCTATATATTTGTCAAAAAAAATTGTCCAAAAATTTGACAGTTACAAGTATAGTACAATCGTAATATAATTACATTATAACTTACATGTAACTACAGTGTAATTTGTATGTAACTTTTACATAATTTTGAGCCGTTAGATTTGCTTTAAGTGTCATGCAAGTGATGAAGAAAAAAACATAGCACGAGCACATGTGAGGAGATTCGGCCCCACAACCTTTGTTTTACGAAAATAATATGTTAACGAGGGATTTTTAAAAGTTACATAGTACAAGTTACATTGTATTTATAAAGTTATAATATATATGTAATCACATCACGATTGTACTATACTTATATATGTTAAATTTATTGTGAAAATTTGTCTACAAATAAATAGCCCTAATTAGTTGGAATTTCCGGCCCCAAAAAACCGGGCTTTCCTTGGGTCTAGATCAAGAAATGCTCAGCTCTAGAGCACATTAAATCTAAGCCAATATCACAAGCTCACAACCCAACCGACCCAAGCCTGACCCGATAACTAATGGCCCAGGGGCCTGGATCTGGGACGATGCACCTAGATTCTCAAAGCAGTGCTAATTTGATATGAGTACTTACGCAAATATACCTGTGTGGCTGCGAACAGGGCTAGATTTCACCTTCAGATCATAATATATTATTAGTAGTTGATTAACTAATCATCGACTGTACCAACAAAAAATCGTGCAAGCTGCAAGCAGCTAATTAACTGCCTGCATGCATGCTTTTGTTGTGGAAAGTTTTCATCAGCGTAACAGCTTTGCATGACACCTTTACTTAACGATGTAAACATGCAAAAGCGCTGCAAGATCATTGATGTCCACAATAATTAACCGAGGAAGCATCGAGCTTACTCAGATTGCCATGGAAAGTGGAAACACACCCACTAAAAAAAAAATCCTCTGCCAACCATGGCAAACTGCTAGCAAGCCATCTGTGCAAGTTTGCCACCACCTGACCACCATGCATGTCAATATGTCATCAGTAAAAGGTTAATCTGAGGAAGACATCTTGATATAATTTTTTTAAGCCAAAACACAAACATCCAGAGTCATAAAACACACATACTTTATTACTCTATTTTTACGAGTACATTCAAATTCTGAGCCGGCATATCTAACATAATAGTACATCATCTAACATAAAAATTAATTATATGCGAACACCCATATCAAATTTAGAACTTTAACTAATTTGAGTGGACAGATCTCATTACATGGAACTTATCGAGCTACGCTTACTACAACACAGATATATCTTGATATTTTAATTTACAACACGCATATATCTTGATATTTTTGACATGTTTAAATGAGTGAGATTGAAAGGTCAGCACTGGATCGCCTAGGATTTCGAGAGAGAGAATCACATTCACAGTGACAGAGATATGAGGTTAATCAAGGCGTGATGGCGACGCAAAAGTTGGCAACAAACAAGCATGCATATGCCACCAAAAGGGACAGCAACGAGGTGTACCTTTTGTGTCGCCTCCGAATCGCCGTGAGATTGGATTATTTCCCTCGTTTTTCTCCTCACGAAATCGCTCGCATTTCGTTCGTTCGTTCGTTCGTTCGATCGATCGATCGATCGATCGAGCTGAATGCTGCTGATAGATGAGCCCCCTCGCATCGCATGCGATCGCAGTGGCCGGCAGTGCAGGTTTTTGTCGTGGTTGGCTCTGAGGCTTTAGCCACTAGCTAGCACAGGTACAAACTGTTTCCCAGTGATTACTTACTAAATTTCTTAATATGAATCACATGGCCTTCCTGTACACACACACACACACCGCTCTGAGATCGATTTCTCATGGCCCTGAATAATACTCTCTGTCCGTACTGCACGCATCTCCTGTTCAACACTGTTTATTAACTCGAACTCTTGGTTACTAGTAGTTTTACTAAGTTTTACTATTAGTATATACATATATATACTACTACTGTATATGTACACATCTCCATTCGTTGCCATGCTACATTGCTAGACACTGTGTGCAGCCCAGCCCTGCAGGTCTGCAATGGCCAATGCACGCCTCACATGAATTTATATTCTTTCTGTGTGCTCTTAATTTTACAGTTACTTCGTGTAGAGCTGTAGACGATGCCCTCAACCCAATGGGAATTGCAGTAGTTCTGTATCTGTCATATTTGGATGTGACTGTAGCTACTGCAGGGGGCATCGATGCACCCGTGCATGGTTCTACTCAGCGGTAAAAACTTCTTGTTAGTAAAAAAAAAAGTGAATATTAAGAATGACCTAATATCAAATAAGTAGATGTGAGACTTCGAACTCAGGCCGGCTAGCCTACCACACTGGAGCTGTCGAAAGATTTCTGGGTGTTTTTCATTGAAGAGATTTGGAGGGAGAGACGTCCTTCCAAATATTTTTTTAAGAAATTGTGAGTGTGTTAAGGATTGAACACAAGGACTCGGGATTGAAACCATGCACCCTTTACCATTGCACTGTCAAGTCATCATGGCTATTTTAAAATGTAGGATTGAGAAAATAAAAAAGAACAATGTTATAGAATTTTGATAGGAATGCAAATATGAAATACTGTTGAAGATACTCAGATTAAAGAAACTTTCCGTAAGATTGAACTTTTGTTAAAATTTCTCCAAACTTTACATGGATTGAGGCATTCCACATGAATTTTAACATACTCAATAGTATTCGATAATTTATTTCAAAGAGCTATATAAAAAAAATCTCACAGAATTTTTTTGAGAGGTTAGTCCTACATATAGAATTGTAATCCTACAAAATTTCTCTGTTTTTTTCTTTAAATGAAAAGGAGCCTTAGGGTTTGGATGTCTTTCTTCTCCTTTTTTTTAACTGATCGATTAGTTGGGACTGGTCGTGCGATCCAATCCAATCCAACTATAAAACTATACCAAAATGTGATTGATTATGAGAGTTGAACAAGAACGAAACTACGGGAGTTGGGACAGTGCTGAATAAGAACAAAATTGTCGTACATGTTCTGCCGTTGAATAACAACAAGAGGCAAGTTTCATCGTGATTATTTAGCAATTGTTTGACTTCCTAGGCCGTAGCACATTTCGCGTCTCTTGATTCAAATAACTAAACCCATTGCTTCGATCTTGCAAAAGGACCTCGATTTCCATTAGTCGGCCTAATTGTTCAGTTTTTTTTTCTCTCCTTCTGTCTTGACCTCGATTACAATTTAGTCGCGGTGACGGTCATTTCTGGTCGCCGATTCAGACAAAGGTCAACCAATCATTCCTGCTACTCCATTCCAGAACTTAAACATCCTTTTTTAGACACGGATATTAAAAAAATAGATAAAAATGATTGAATAAGGGTTATAATTGGTGAAGAAAACAAAATAGATATAGCGAATGGTTATGATTGGTTATGTGAATGGTAGACGAAGAAATAATTTTATTTTAGGATAAGTTACTATGTTAGAAATAGCTATATTTTAGGAAAGATGTAGTTGTTGCATTTGGGTTCTCATAGTTGGTGCTGCTTAATTTTCTAGCTGCCGATTAATTAGGAGAGAAAACAAACAGGCAACTAATGGAGAAAATATTTACACTGGTGATGCTGATCAAGCAGGTCCCATTTTAATCCAAGATTTTGACATGGATCAACGAACACGACGCTAATTAAGCTTAGCTTAGCTAGAAGCTACAGTACACTGCCATGATCAAACTAGCTAGTTGTTAATGACGCTCAATGATACTCATTATTCTCATCTAGACTAGGAGCACGATCTGATGAGGCCGAGGTTGTAGAGGAACTTCTCCGACCGTGACCTGATCATGTTGCCGAGGGATCGGCGATCGCGACCGGGCGGCGACCTGGGCTCGCCGCCGCCGGCGTCCTCCCTGACGAACAGCACCTGCTCGCCGATCTCCGCGCGCACCGCCTCCACGGCGTGCGCCTCCACGGGCTCCCCCGACGCCGCCACCACGTAGAACACGTTCGCCGCGCGCGCGCCCCGCGTCGCCACCTCGGCGTGCGTCACCGACAGCCCGTGCTCCCGGAATATCCGCGTCACGTCGGACAGCAGCCCGACCCTGTCCTCGCAGTACAGCTCCAGCCTCAGCCCCTGCTAAGACCAATCAAGTCAAAGCCGTGTTCACGGTAACTCTGATATCATGATAACCATTTTGTTTTGTTTGATGTACTCACCTCGGTGTTGCGGCGTTGGATGGCCGCCTCGAGGCAGCGGCCGAGGCGGTCGCGTTCGTCGCCGGAGGTGACGGGGCTGTCGTCGAGGTGGCGGATGTAGTACTCCTGCAAAAGATTTCGCCGGCGACGACGGCGATGTTGTCAGCACGCGTGACACAATGCAGTTGCAGTGCAGGTGCAGCTCGTGTGTTCGTTGGTACGAGCTCACACAAAACTAGGATCTCTTCTCTTCTCGGCTCTGTCTGTCACTCACATGCCAAGATCTAGCAGTATCTATGTAGCAGCGGAGCAGCTTGTTGTGTGTCGTCGTCTCTAGTACACGTTTCTGGTCAAAATGTGAGCGCGGAAACCGAGGCACAGTGGAATGGTAGCTAGCTAGTAGCTAGGAGTAGTAGCTAGGCTATAGGGTAGAGCTAGAGTGTGTGCAGCGAAGTGCAATGGCATGGCAGCGTCGTCAGCGATGGAACAGTGACGAAGTACCTGGTACGCCTCGGAGCCCTCGGCGATGACGGTGCCGTGGAAGACGACGTACTGCATGTCGGTGAGCGTGCACACGGTGTCGAACAGCAGCTTCGGGCGGTCGCGGCACCGCACGTTCACGAGGGTGTACCCGCGCTCGGCGCAGTCGACGACCTCCACGACGGGGCGGCCGCGGCCGCCGCCGTCGCCGGAGGAGGAGGAGGGCTGGGGGGCGGCGGCGGCGCGGTCGTCGTGCATCATCTGGTGGAGGCGGCGCGGGGCGTGCGCCGCCGCGCCGTCGCGGCGCGGCGCGGGGATGGCGGCGCGGGCGGTGGCCTTCCGGTCGCGCGCGCCGGCGCCGCCGCCGCGGAGGAGGTGGCGGAGCAGGCGCTTGACCGTGTCGAGGCGGTCCTGGTCGTCGATGGCGCCGAGCGTGTCGGCGTCCGTGACGTGCACCAGCGCCGCCATGCGCGCGTCGTGCGTCCACACCTCCGACGACACGATGTTGCACTTGAGGTCGGTGAGCACGGCGAACACCTCCGACAGGAGCCCCGGCCGGTCCTTACCGATCAGCTCAATGGCCGTCTGCGCCGCCGCCGCCTCCGCCTCCACCTCCACCGACCTCTCCGGCGGCGCCCGGAAACTCAGCGACCCAGCTCCCAGCGACTGAAAAAACCAAATCAAAATTAACACAAATGTGCAGAGCTTTGCTCTGTTCTTGGAATTGATTCTTGTGTACTTTACCAGCTCAATTCTGTCAATGACTTGGCCATCATAAAGTTTATTCCCATCCTGATCCACGACATGGAACACTTCACAAAAGGTGAGCAACACACAAATCACATCATCATCAAAAGATGCCAAAGATTGCAACATCTACAAGAGCTAGATCAGAAAAAAGAGGCACGATCTTTCTTTCTTTCCAATCCTTAATCTTTCTAAGAAAGGGGAGGTTTGCAAAGCACTCACCATCCATGAACCACTCTCCATCAGAGGAAATGTAGGCCCTTTTTATGGTCAGCTTCAGTTCAGTCAGCACCTGAACCACCTCCAGCAAGGTCCCATACTTGTTTGCACTGTCCACCTGCAGAAAAGAATGACAACCTCTCCTGTCTGAGAAAAAAATTCTTCCCAAGAAATGCTCTGAATTAACCTGCAAGAATTATCAAGAACCAAGAACAGAGAAGTGTTGCTTGCCTTCACCAAGGTGGCAGTCATGTCCGAGGTATTATCCACAGTGACCCTGCAAGAAGGAAGAACGTAACTCAGCACGGTTAACAGGGTCAAAGTGCAGAGAGAAACACCATGGAAGAGGAAGAAGAAGAAGAAGAGATGGAAGAAGAATGGAAAGGACTAAAATACCTTGGAGGGTTCATTCTAATGACAAGCTTCTCGAACTCATCGACCACCTCAGTGCTGGGAGACCCACAGGCCATCATTGTTCCAAGGACTGGACTGAACTGAACCCCCTTTGTTGTTCTCTTGCTCGCAACAAGAGAGAAGAGAGAAGAAAGAGAAGGTAGAGAGGCAAAAGGGATACTTCCCCTTTGCTCCTCCCAAATCCAAGTGTATAGTACTACTTGCTGTGTAGTGGTGGTGGTGTAGTGGTGCCCCTCTCCTCACCTAGCTGCTGTGCTGCTCTTCACTCTGAATGTCTGAAGCTGCAGCTCAACTAGTCCTAGTATATATATATATATGTATATTCATTTGCTTATGGTTATGGGTGAGTGAGGAAGACATGGAAGGATGTCTACTTGTGGATTTGTGTGTGTGATGTGCATCCCTCTCTCTCTATCTTGTGTTATTGTGTTGTTGTAATGTTGTATGTCTTTGTGTCCCTTCACTGGTTCTAAGGGAGATGTTTAGAGGGGGGTCCTTTTGTCTGTGCCTGTCCATATTGGAGATGGTTGCTTGTTACTACTACATACTGATCCCATGGTGGGTCCCATCCCCATTTTGATCATAGTTGATTTCATTGCATACACATGTGTCTACTAGTGTAATTTACTACTGTATATCTAATGTATGCAACATGTATGTTTTCAGTCTCTGTGACATGGTCACCATGGGTCTTGTTGAAGTTGAGCAGATCATGAGAGATGCTCCTCCGAGTATTCAAAACCTGTTCTTTTCAGTTTTGCCTCAAATCTTGGCCCTCTCAATTTTGATCAGGGCATAAATGCTCACAGAGATATGCTCTGAATTACGGTTTCGAACTGAAGATATGCTCAGAGAGATATGCTATGAATTTGATTACGGTTTCAAACTGAAGATATATATGTTGTAATGATGAGTACATGTTTAGATATACTATCCGGATGTTGGTCTTCTCAAATCTAAAAAATATATGCAAGAATTATATGACTTGTCTTATTGCTCACGTTGTGTTTATCGGCTAACACATTACAAAACTGCAGAAGTAGATGCAGTTGCACGGCACTTGCACTCTTGAATACTCTAGTTAACTGAGATTTATGGCGGCAAGCATTTGTATTGGATGAAATTGGATGCGTCCAGTGACGTGGCATGACGACATTGGTCATGCCTAATTAACCTGTATTGAAAAAAACTAGGTTAGGAGGCCCATGGTATAATAGCCAACCTTTTCAAAAGGTCAACGTAGACTTGGTTTCTTTTCTTTGCCTTTTACTCATAGAGAATTTGTTCTCTTGTAACTTGTACATATAAAAACGACCATTGTGTCAACACTAATGCCCTAACAATATAGAGTGTACCACTTTACTACCATTACTATCATATGATAATTGACACAATAGACACAAGGAATGTTACAAAGAAAAGCCGCGGGAAAACAGGTCAACGGTTCGAAAACATGGAGGTTGTTATAACCGTCAAGATTTTTACAATTTAGCAGTTTAATATACTACTCCCTCCGTTTCAAAATGTTTGACGCCGTTAACTTTTTATCATATGTTTGACCGTTCGTCTTATTCAAAAAATTTAAATAATTATTAATTTTTTTTCCTATCATTTGATTCATTGTTAAATATATTTTTATGTAGGCATATAATTTTATATATCTCACAGAAGTTTTTGAATAAAACGAACGGTCAAACATGCGCTAAAAAGTCAACGGTGTTAAATATTTTGAAACGGAGGGAGTATAACTCAGAACAAAAAAAATTCCATGATTTTTTTTATCGAACTCGCTGAAGATCTACCATAATAGTTTATCTTGTCGAAAAAGTTACCTCAGTTCTCATCCAGACAACGTGATCTCGAGCACCGATTTCCAGCAATCAATTAACTGAACTGCACGAAAAACACTATTTGCTCCACACATCTCAACAGGATGAGAGATTCAGCATCACCACGCAAAAAAAAAAAAAAAAGCTGAGATTTGAGCAACTAGCTAGCAAATGGTCCCTCATTTGGTGATATGAGCAGATCTTGCATATGGGGCCAAGCAGAAGCAGGGCCGCGGTGCACTACACTACTGCTGCTGCTACTGCTGTTTGGCTCTTCCTCTCTGATCTCTTTCCTCTTTTGCCCATTCTAGCCTTTCCAATTCTCAATTTCTTCCTTGGTTGGGAGTACTTAGTTGTGCTCAGCTTTGGATTTGATTAGGTTATCTTGAGTACAATCCTCCTTTCCTTTGTGGGCTAATTGTGATTTTGCACCTCTCCATTGGTTGCTTAGTTTAATTACTAGCTAAGCTAGATTATGTGCAAGATCAAGAATCGATTGGATTATGAGTGGCTATATATATTGGCTGATGATTAAGCTAGATCATTACATTATGAATGCCAATGGATTCTATTCTTCTGATATTTTTGTTGCAGATGTATCATGGAGCAATGTTGCAGTGGTGGTGACAGTTGGCTGAGTGCTTCTTCCGGATGGCATCCTGGCTTTGTACACTTGTCTGAAACTCTGAACTTAAAGGAGAAACGTGTAGCTGGATGGCTAGCAGAGTTGCACGGCCAAGTGCTCCGTTTTCTTCAGGGTCTCTTTGCCAGATGGAGACCTGCATTTGCAGCGAATTCACGATGGAGAAGAAGAAATTCAGAACGTGGCCACTGCAAATTAATGTGGCTGGATTGTTGTTAGACAGTTTCATGTAAAATTTCATCTAGAAAACAGAGCTGAGCAGAGACCGGCGGCGAGCCATGGCCGGAAAAGTTGCCGGCTCTGTCGATCGGCGGCCGGCCGGTGACCGGGCGCCGTGCAAACCTCCTGCAGTTTTTGGCTGTCCCCCGGTGCATGCAAGAGAACAAAAGCCCCACTTCCTTTTAGGAGTGTTGTTGCAATATTGCTGCCATTTGCATGGTAGCCTCCCTGCTCGTCTCTGGCTAACTCCTACTACATTGCCATGCTTTTGCTTTCCGTGGAAAGCTTGCCTGTACTTTGAAACCAACATGTGTACCAAGTACCAACTTTGCCATGTTGCGTTAGCTTTTGATTGTGTGAAGTAGTATTTTTTTTTCTTTGGAGCAAGATGCAAAGATTGTGTTTAGTACAGGGCAGCTACCTGGGTTTTACTCTCTCCGTTCCAAAATATAATTACAGTATGGACTGATAGAGTGAAAAAACAGGATCACTATGCGGTAGACAAATGAAAAAACATGCTATTCTCCCCTCTCTGGTCTAGATCAAATATAATCTTACATCTTTTTGCTCCATGATTTTTTTTAGGAAATTTTTGCTCTATGATTAATGAAAGTTCAAGTGGGGAAGCTTCCTCCCCAGTGACCTGTCAAAAAAAAAAGGAAGATAGATGGTTTTTATTGGTTGAGATGATAAAGTGGACGAAGAAATTAAACGAGAGATAATTGTCGAAGTACATTGAGAAATTGGCATAATCTAGAATAAATTTTGAATGGCAAAAGTTACTTTATAATTTTACGAAGAATGGTTCATGCACCAACCTATTCTAATAAGCCGTTTGGATGGGGCCTATGAATCACTCTCTCCTCTGGTCTGACCAATGGATCGACAGCTGCTCGGTGGCGTCCTTGGCTCCAGATCTCCTCTTCGCCGTTCCCCAGCGCTTCCGAGGTTCACGCACAGTTGCTTCTGCCCTAGCGAACAACTCCTGGGTCTCTGATATCCGCGGTGCCCTCACTGTCCCGGTCATCTCCTAGTTTCTCCTTATCTGGGATGCAGTGCTTCACGTACAGCTCTTGCCGGGTGTCGAGGATCGTCTCGTTTGGCGCTGGACGGCTGACCAGCGCTACTCTACACGTTCGGCATACCAGGCTTTCTTCTATGGCCATCATTCCTTTGCTTGTGCTGATCTTCTCTGGCATGCAAAGGGTCTTGCCAAATGCAGGTTCTTTCTTTGGTTCGCTTTCCAGCAGCGCTGCTGGACGGCTGATCTCCTCTAGAAGCGTGGCATCGATAATCACTCGGCTTGCTCCTTTTGTGCTTAGGATCTTGAGACGGCGAACCACATCCTCCTCGACTGCGTGTTCGCTCGGCAGGTCTGGCTCCGGGTATTGTCGCCTTCTGGCCGGTCTGCCCTCTCTCCACCCCGTGGCAGTTGGTTCTAGGACTGGTGGCCGTCCTCCAGGGCCTGCTTACCATAGCACCTCCGCGACAGCTTCGACTCCCTGGTGCTCCTGGTCTCTTGGTGTCTGTGGAAGGAGCGGAACTCTAGGGTTTTTGACTCTGCTCTTTCTTCGGTCCCAGTGGTTCTAGAGTCCGTCCATGCGGAGGGCCATTTGTGGTCTTTAGCTGGCGTCGCCGCTTTTGGGGATTTGTTGGGAGTCTAGCGTGACTTAGCCCCTTCCCGCTGCTTGGAGTCTGTTTTTAGCCGCCGTAGTTTCTCTAAAGCTTCAGCTTCAATTTTTTCTTCTTTTGCTTTTTCTTCCTTCCCCTAGCATAAGCCAGTCTGGCTGATTGCGGTGTGTAACTAAAACTCTTTTTCTTCTAATATATTGACGTGCAATCTTTTTGCGCGTTCGCGAAAAAAAAAACTCTGGGCCGTCAGATGCTGCTGAAATTCTGTCACCCTTTTCCAGCCATCGAAACCTACATTATTGTAACGCAACTTTTGAGTTGGAGTTGGATTATCTCGTATAAATCATTAACATTTTTTTCTTAAGAAAAAACCTTCATGTTGTAAAATTCTATAGGAGTGAGCACTTTTCAAACCTCATTTGAGGCGACGGAGTACGAGTTAAGCCGACATGCAAAGTGCTAAAACATGTAGTACTAGCTTAATTACCTACGCTGGCAATTAACAGAACAAAATTGTACAAGTTGAAGTACACACACATATATACATAAACTGTCATCTAGTTGTTGCCTGATGCACTGAACATGAAGCAAACAGTCAAACATGGAGCAGAGCAAAGAGGGATCAGTGGGACAAGGATTCTTCAGAACCTAATAATCAACCCTGCACAAGCTATGCAGGCTGCTGGTAAGCCAAGACCGGGAGGCACTTGTGCATGGTGTCGTCAGTTAATCAACAAATCAAGTTGTCCTTTGGTGACAAATATTCCCTGGAGCCATAGACCAACCAGCATCTGAGTAGATTATAACGGCAGCTGGTGCATCGCAGTGCAGTATCGAGGAGAGGGAAGAAGCAGCCAAATGCAGGCAGCAAACGGTGCAGGGATCGATCGATTAAACATTGCCCATCCCTATTGGCCACATGGATTTGATTAGTATATATAGTTAGCATATGCAGCATGCACTTGCTATTAAATTAAACTTACTGCAAAGTTAAAAAGAGATCACAGAGGTAGATACTAGATTAGCTTAGCTAGCTAAGCACATGAAGTGAGTAGTAGTAGCAGTAAATTACTCTGTCCGTTTCAGGTTACTACACATTTTGACTTTGGTTAAAATTAAACTATTTCAAATTTGACTAAGTCTTTAGAAAAAAATTAGTAACATTTTCAACCCAACACAATTTTATTGTGAAAATATATTCAATTATTGATTTAATGAAACTAATTTGGTATTATAAATATTATTTATGTATAAACTTAGTTAAATTTAAAATAGATCAAATTCAAAACGTTTTATAACCGGATAAACGGATGAATCAACATGTATGGTGATATATGCAATGCAGGGGCAATGTGCGGGTGGAGAAGATGAGCGGAGGAGATTCTCTCTGCATGCGGAATCTCCTGCAGCCTGCTCGCTTGATCCCGTCGGGGAACGCGCCAGCGCCACGCCAGCCACGGCTCTGTGTCCGCGCCCGGCGCGGCGCGGCGCGCACACGCCATGCCATTGCCTGCGCTGCAGCCTCAGCGCGCGCATATGGCGCCCGCGTGCGCGCGGGGCAGCGGGAATCACTGCGCGATCCGCGGTTGTTGGCGGGCGAGACCGTCGTGTCGTCGCGTGGGGGATGAGATGAGACGGGTTGTCGTTAACGGTGGCGCGCTCGCGCGCGGCGACGATGCCGCTGGCTGCTTGGGCCGCGGCGTGCGCGCGGCAGGGCAGGGCAGCGCGCGGCGACGGCGACACCGACGACGACGCGGCGTGCGCGCCACTCCGCGACCGCGCGCGCGCGGATGTGTCATTTACGTGCTCGGCCACTCTCGTTGTCGGGTGATCGGCCGGTGCCGCGATCGTGTCACTGACTCACCGGCACCGCGCACTGATGATCATTTTATTGTCGAGATAAAGAAGTGTCAAAACACAGCCGTAGCAGCCAGCAGCGTGTGTGTGTGTCTGGTCACGTTGTTGGTGATCAAACTACGCTCACGACACACTCATCCTTATATACACACACATACACACACTACCCCTATGAACATATCCGAAAGAGTAGACTGACATATCTTAGATTGACAAAATTACCATGGACGTTTCACTGTCGACACAGGTACATCGCATACCGCTGAAAGAATAATTAACTGTAAATACAAGCACTCATATCAAATCTAGGACTTGAATCTGAGTGGGTTGGTTCCACAACAAGGAACCTAACCAGTTAAGCTACGATTACTTCACAAACTATGATCTTGTTTGGAGGAATTTAATATCTATCTATCTATCTATTATATTATTAAAACAACTTTGAAATAATACACCACGTTTACTATGGAGACTAAAAACTCTCATATTGATTGGAGAAAAAGAAGAATATCTTAACCGTCATACCATGGTGGGTCTGGATTATAGCGGTATATATTGAATGATATAGTTGTATACAAAATATAATTATATCTATAGAAATAGAATTAAGATAAGAGTTGTATATAAAATAACTTATAGAAAATAGAAGGTAAGAGTTATATATAAAATCCACATATTGTTACAATACCTATAGAAATAAATTTCCAGAATTTTATATAAATCTAACTCTATACATGAATTATCTAGCTCCGTACAAAATTGCGCGGGGACAATCTTCTAGTTTTAAGAAATAGTTGGTTGGTAGTTAGTGTTATGAAAATAGATGCACAACGGAGACACGAATTTTACGTGGAAAACCCTTGCGGGAAAAAACACAAGCGCTGATCGGCAATGATCACTATTGAGGAGTTAGATACAAATGCATGGGATATAGTGGGTTGTTGCACCCTCCCTGACAGCTTATAAGAGATATATATATAGGAGAAATCTAGGAGTTATAGTGAGGAAAAGACTTAGTCATACTAGAAAATTAATCATAATAGTAAAGTTCTATTAGGAAACTTATCCGAATATATTGCATACCTAAAATTTGGATTACAGTTAGTTTTTAAGAATTTGGAGAAACTGGCTCTTCTGACTTCTAATTTATTTTCTAGATCTTTCTTAAAACCTTTATTAAAAGTTAGGGCCTGTTTAGATTGTAGCCAAAATAAACCTTACCAAGTTTTGACAGGATTTCTTATGTATTAAACAAATTTCGCAACAAATTAAACGTAGATATTTTTAATAACTTTGCTAAAAAAAATGATATGGTTGAAAATGACGTAAAAGTGAACAGGCCGCTAAACTGTTTAGATAAGTTTTTAGTTACGAGAGAAGCTAAGCTACACTGACAGATGCCCACCAAACAGATCCTATTAGTTTTTTTTTATACGAACAGACCCTATTAGTTAGCATAGATAAGTTGGGTTTTGCCTTTCTGCGCAACATATGGGCCCATGGGTCGTGGCGAATATCAATCGAAGTCAAGGCAGTCCTGCTTGGGCCAAGCCTAATCATGAATGCATATATTTTAGAGACTTAGAAATACTTTAGTTCACTTTACGTCTCTCAATTATAGACCAAGTTTCATTCGCGTCCCTTATCTGCGAAATCGGGTATATAGCGTGCCCCAATTATCAAAATCAATGAAAATCGAATTTCTTGGCGGTTTGGATGATGGTTCTGTCCTACATGGCACCCACATAGAACATTGACTCCGATCTTCATCCCACGTGATGCTTACATTGGAGTTGAAAAAAATGAACCACTCATGTTAGTCAAATAAATAAGAGAGAATCCCTTATATACCACTGAAAATTTGTCTGATCCATTGGATACCACTGAAAATTGGCTCTTCCCTTATATACCATTGGTTCAAATGTTCGCTCCCTCTCATGCCACTACAGTCCGTTGACTGGTAGTTGACTATTAATAGGATGTAATCACTTGTCAGTTTTTTACATAAATGACAAAAATACCCTTTGGCCCAAACATGAGAATATGGCCCAATCGTCCAAGTGGGCCAAGCCCAACATCCCTCTCCTCAACAACACTATGTTTGTATGCACCGGGAGTTGGTTATGCGCTGGGAGTTAGTTTGATGAGTGCTGATGCACCATGTCAGTATGCATTTTGGTATTCTGTGGTCATTTAAACAACTCCCTATAATATTTGTTGCATATTCTGTGCTACTGTGTATATCTCCTTGCTCCAGCAAACAATCTGTTTGTTATTTTAGCTGTTTAGCTGTGCATTACAAACAATGTGCAATTACACATTATCTTAAATGTCTATCAGGAGCAATCTATTATATTGCTTGAATGTTTTGTTATAGTGTGAAAAACAGAGAAATGTTGTGCTCCCTAGTAAATATTGTTGAAGCTTTTGTTCGAGAAGTACATGGTTAATGTATGTGGAAAATACATTAATGCCATAACATATTGCTTTGTTCTACTATGAAAAATAGAGAAATATGTGCCTCAAAATTATGTGACTGAAAAATATTCATATATTCAATATATAGATTAATGCTATACATTCACATATTCATTTATTCCAAATATATGTGATGCCTAGCTAAAATGTACTTCCACCGTTTCACAATGTAAGTCATTCTAGCATTTTCCATATTCATATTGATGTTAATGAATTTAAATAAATATAATGAATTTAAATAGATATATATGTCTATATTCATTAACATTAATATGAATGTGAGAAATGCTAGAATGACTTACATTGTGAAACGGAGGTAGTAGTATATAACTGACATACTAACACCTACTGCATGCATATCAACTCAAGAAGGGCAAATACGTCATTTCACTCTACAGTTAACAGTCAACTACCGGTCAACGGATGGCAGTGGCATGAGAGGGAGCGAAAATTTGAACCAATGGCATATAAGGGAAGAGCCAATTTTTAGTGGCATCCAAAGGATCAGATAAATTTTTAGTGGCATATAAGGGATTCTCTCAATAAATAAAAATCCGGTGGGTCAACATATCAAGTCAACCCTCTCTATTTCTTCCCCCTCTCTCCCCTAGCGGCAACGAGCTTTTTCCGACCAAGTCCCTCTAGAAGCTAAGAGCATCTCCAAATCTCACTCTCCAAACGTGCATTTAGCCAGCTTGCAAAAAATTTGGATAGTCAAATATGCCTTTCACTCCAACAACCTCTCTATTACAGTTCTCCACTCTACCCGTGTGGTCCCACATGTTAGCTTCCCTAATTATTTTCACCCTTCTTCTCCACCCCTCGTCTCTCTCTCTCCCTTTCTTCTTCTTCTCCTCTCATCTCCGCGGGCCGAACCCGTGCGGCGGCGGAGGCGTTGTGGAGCCTCCGCCGCGGAGAAGGGAAGGCGGCGGCAAGGAGGGCAGTCGGCCAGCGGGAATTGCGGGAGTGGCGTGGATGGCGGAGGCGCTGTGGAGTCCGCGCGGCGGAGATGGGAAGGCGGCGGCGAGAGAGGCGATCGGTCGGCAGGAGCTGTGTGTGCAGCGGAGATGGGAAGGGCGTGGCGAGGGAGGCGGTCGGCCGGCGGGAACGGAGCGGGCGGCGGAGGCCGGCGGCAATGACGGCGTGGCGGAGGAACGGCACGCAGAACGGCGGGACGATCGAGGAGATGGCGGACGGAGAGAGAAATGGGTGGGCCCATGCGTGGGGCCCATGATTGGCAAGGGAATTTTGGTGGCCATCTTTGGCCAGTGAGAGGAGCTGTTTGGCCAACCGGATGGCAAGTCTCTTGTAGTGTGTTTTTCATCCAATATTGTCAAATTTTAACTTAAAGAGTGAGATAGCCACTCTCTTGGAGATGCTCTAACGGCGAAGGACAATAGGGGCTTTCTGGCTAAGGGATGTGAATAAAACCCACTCCATGGCTGAGGAACGTAAGCTGGACTTTTTCCTAGGGACTCAGCGTGCGATTGGGCCCAACCGAAAGATATATCATATATGGGCTGGACATTGCTCATATGGGCCGAACAGTTGTGTGGGGGGCCCACACTCGGGTGCGTGTCCAGCCCAAGCACAAAACCGACGCTGTCCTTTGCCTTCTTCCTCCGTCGTCGTCGTCGTCGTCTCCTCGATCGGGTTACCACGGCTGCGGGCTACGGCGACTAGCTTCCTTCTCTCGCCGAAGCGAGACCTCGCCTCCCCCGAGGTATTCCTCTCTCCTCCTCCTCCGCCTCCTCCGCGGTGCTAAGCCGGCGTAGACAGGAGATCCATCCGGATTTGGATGGGATGGGATCGGTTTGGTTTCCTTTTTTTTTTTCACCCCCTCGGCGGCGTTGAAATCGTAGCTTGATTTGACACCTGTTTCTACGATTAATCGGACAAATTTCCGATGATTCGTTTGGTTACTTATGGAATAGTAGTTAATTGCACTTGATTTCCACTAGATTCGGGGTTCAGCTGAACCCCCATGAGGCCATGACCCGCTGTAGATCCCCTTATGGTTGATGTTTGCGCAATAGGAAAAAAATAGAGGATCCAATTTTGGATTTCCTTGATGCCCAAAACCCCGGGGCACGTCCTCACTGTGGCGTATGATTGTGTGTTAGATTGATACGGAAGAGATCTAGTGAATGATACTTTGGAATTTGTCTCTGCAGGAACCTGTGTGCAATAATTTGTTGTTACCTCTGGCATCCATAAGATGGAGGTCCTGAGTTGGAGAACGGTGTGCCTCTTGGTTCTCTGCACCGTGGCGTTGCTGCGCCCGGCTGCGGCTATCCGCTTTGTGATTGACAGGGAAGAGTGTTTCTCGCATAACGTGGAGTATGAGGGGGATACTGTTCATGTATCGTTCGTGGTGATCAAGGCTGACACCCCATGGCATTATAGCGAGGACGGAGTGGATCTTGTGGTAAGTGCTTTAACTCATTTTGCATCTCTGTGTATACCCTTCATGAATAGGTATTGGACTTGTTGATCTGTCCTGTTCAATGCGACAGTTAGTTCAAACTTGAAAGCATGTTTGTTTTGAACCTGTAAAATAAAATCTTGATAGGATCATAGGACTAGTAAAAAGTTCTCCTAACAAACTAGATTAGAGCACATTGCCTCCTTAAACGTGCATCTTAAATCTTGAACTGTTATCTTGACAACTTTTCATATGCAAAACAGGTTATTAGGCTGTCTGAACTTTCTTTAAATTAAACTTCATTATTACTGTTGAGCTCCATTTTTTTTTTCAAATACCACTGCTGTAGTGCTGTACAATACAACTGTTAGTAAAATATTTGGCTGCTGATAGGTTGACAGCTTTAACTTGTTTTGTTGATTGCACTGAGACTTCCTTTCAGGAACTTTAGTTTCAGTTTCTAAAGTTTGCCTTCTTTTTCTATGATCATGGTTTTATTGGAATAGATGGACATGGTCTGAATACACCAGATAACTGGCTCCTGTTTGGGTTTGATAGGCTCAGGTTAATCAGTTTGTATGCTTTTAGTCTTCCTACTGGAGTGCATATACAATAAACCTCTGTTTGTCAAACGATGCATTTGCATCAGACGTTCTAGCACTCAGTTGGCCTGTGAAATAAAGCATGTTAGCAATCTATTTTTGTTGCACATCGTACTTATGAACTAATGATGTTATGTATAACATGCCTCCATTCTGACGAATCACAGGTTAAGGATCCTAATGGTGCTCAAGTCCGTGATTCTCGTGACAAGACTAGTGATAAGTTTGAGTTCATAGTTCAGAAGAGAGGCGTACATCGCTTCTGCTTCACCAATAAATCCCCATACCATGAAACTGTAGATTTTGATGTGCATGTTGGCCATTTTTCGTACTTTGATCAGCATGCGAAAGATGGTAAGGATTTCTGAAGTTTCTATACTTTGGCTAAACTATAAGTTACTGCCATCTCCAACTTATCTTTTCTGTAATGGATGCAGAACATTTTGCTCCTTTGTTTGAACAAATAGCAAAATTAGATGAAGCGCTTTACAACATTCAGTTCGAGCAGCACTGGCTAGAGGCCCAAACTGACCGACAAGCTATATGTAAGTTTTCTCTGTTACCATGCCATGTATAATACTATTTAAAATGTTTTACTATTGTTCCTGTTGTTTTTACTATCATAACTTGATTCTCATCATTACCTATGCCGTTTATTCTGGTTATTTAGCTAAAACCACTATCAGTTACCACCTGTACCTTGTCGCTAGCTCTATAAGTTATTATGTAGATATTTATATGTTCCTCTGTTGACCTAAAAAAGATGCAATGTTTGTTGTCCCTTCACCGAGTGACAATAACATTTATTGGCCTCCATACTTCATGAAGTCTGAGAACCAGAACCAGCAATCATTTTTTCTTGGAGTGCTTTACCTTTGGCCGTTACTTATCCTTCTACAGGAGGCATCTACAATGTTGTGAGCTCAGTATTGCTAACCAACAAGCCATGCCTTTTTGCTATCTCTTCTTGGCCTTTTCCAGCTGCTTATATCTGTCAAGTTAGATATCATCTAATATTGTTCCTATTGTTTAACTTTATTCTCATCCATAGATATGCCATACATTCTGTTTTGTTTAGCTAAAACCACTAGCTATTACCAACTATAGCTTGTCACTAGCTCTATAAGTTGTAACGTAGATGTCTATATGTTCATTTAATGACCTATAAAAGGATGCAATGTTTCTTGCCCCTTCACTGAGTGACATAATACCCGTTATTGCAACCATACTTCGTTAAGAAGTCTGAGAACCAGCAATCATATTTTTTTTCTTCGAGTGCTTGCCTTTGGCCGTTACTTGCTATATCATTTTTGATAGGAAGTATCTACAATGTGTCAGCTCAGATTGCTACCCAAGAAACCATGCCTTTTTTAACTATTTTTTCTTTGCCTTCCAGCTGCTTATATCTGTCAAGTTAGATATCATCTAACCTCGTCTTTCCTGGTATCATGCAGTGAACGAAAACATGAGCAGGAGGGCTGTCCACAAGGCTCTATTGGAGTCAGCAGCGCTGATTGCAGCTAGCGTCATTCAAGTCTATCTATTGCGCCGCCTCTTTGAGCGCAAGTTGGGGACATCCAGGGTCTAAATACTCCAAAAGTAGCAGCTCCTCCTAATTTACACTCTCGTCATCCCAACTAAAGCTGTAATTCCGAACTGTATTGGTTGCTAGATCTGCTGTTTACATGCTGTGGGTTGCTGTCACATAGACCTTTAATTATTATGATTCCATTAGATGTTTTCCTTGAAACTATACTATCAGGACCACATACTCGCATCAGCTTCACTATGCAGCTTCCATCTACAGCTGCAACGGTCCCATGAATGTTCTCTTCGATTGGAATAGTTTCTTGGTACAGCTGAGAATTGCTATTGGTAGTGACAGGTATCTATCTGGCCTTTCACAAAACAGCACAAGTGAGGCGGGTCTATTTAAGCATTGCCAGCCAAACCTGTGATGATCTTTATATCTGTCTCTTTAGAGGATCTTTATATCTGGTTGATGTCACACAAAATATCAACCGGACAACATGCATTTGGAGCCTCTTCCCCAGCAGTTGAGCCTCCAACCACCCATGCCTGAAATTCAGTTACTGATCGATTCTTCTGGCCCAACACCTCAACCAATTTTGCATTGGCAGCAGCAGCAAAAGTGCAAAACGACTCATTCAAAGTAACGAAAACAGCAGTGACAAACAAGAAGTTCAGCATGAATTCTGAGGGCAACGTCCCCTGCATTTTGTAGCCACTAGTAGCAGTAGATGTTTTGATATGTGCGTGTGTGAGCATACCAGAATTTACAGGGTGCAAGACACAATAAATTTGCGAAAGCAACAGATGAACCAGAAGGAGTTAAGTCTGTGCTACACCTAGTGTCAGTACTGGTAGGCACATCACACATGTAGAATGCAGAGTATGCCCACCCAGCAGCACATGGACAGACTGGTCATCAAACATGGCACCATGCCATCCATACACACACAGATCCACTTCTAGAACTTGGTTTTTGACTGCCTCATCAATGGAGCTCTCTAGTCTCTATAGCTGATAGCTTAGCTCACTCTTTCATTCATTCATCGGTATATACAGCTCAAAAGGCATGGCTAGGCCTTGTTTAGTTTCCCCTATTTCTAACTTTCCATCATATCATATTACATCAAAAACTTTCCTACACATATAAATTTCTAACTTTTTTTTCAAACTCTCAACTTTCTTCAAATTTCCAACTTTTTTTTTAGGAATTAAACACACTCTTACTTAGCATGAGAGAATGACAGTGAACCATCCGTGACATTCTTTGCAAGGAGGACGGACGATGACTCTGTGAACAGGAGTCTGATCTGCTCTGAACTCCCAACCGTCCCAACCGACGCCGGCCATCACGGGCGTGTTCGTGCCGGGCTTCCTCTGCTCTTGCCGGACTCCGGCTGTCGTCAGAGCTACCAACGAGACGTACAAGGAAACGCGCGCCGCGTCGTGCCGTGCTAGAATGGCCGTGCACGGCACTAACGCGGCTCACGGGTTTTCTTTTATAACACAAAAGACGCACATGTGCAAATATTACTACACACCCATAACCTTTTTAGTTACAAGTGCTGAAAATAATGGTATGACAATGATGAGAAAAAATATGTTTTACGCAAATTTTGTACTGCATGTGTTTCAGAATATAACAACTTAGATCGGATGATACTTAACCGTAATAGATGTTAAGTCTCATCTGATCTTTGATCTTAAGCTGTTATATTTTGGAATAGAGTGAGTATGTTTTATGTTCTTATGGTGTCTAGAAAATGAGTTAGAATAGGTGAGACTAGAAAACGAAAACGAATGGAGAGATAGAATGAAATGGGGGTAAGAAGAATCGATGGTTCAGATTGAATATTACCCTCTAAGAGGGGAGAAATCATATCCCAAACCCATTTTCTAAACTTGAACCATATGGTAAAAAAAAACTAAACGTAAAAAAATAATAGAAAGTGTAAATTAATTCTAAAAATTCTAAAATTTAAATTTAGAAGAGGACCGCAGTAAAGTTAAAAAAAGAGAAAAAAATCTAGTTGAGGAGGAAATGCATGAGCAAGTTTACCATTACCACCCCGGCTGGGCTCTGGGCTGTCGTCCGCCTCAGCGTCTTAAATGCAACATCTAACTCTCACCACCCTCCTCTTCAATGCCCCCGTCTCCCTCTCGCCTATAAACCACGCCGCCCGCCACCGCCGCTCGCCATCGCCACCGTCGTTCACACCACACCACCTGCTGCACACAGCTCGATCGAGTTAGCCCACTAGCTACCAACCAAGCTGCCGGCGAGAGGTATGGCGGCGTGGCGCGGTCTGGCGTTGGCAGCGGTGGTGGCGTGGTGCGTGGCGGCGGCGGCGGCGGCGCCAGACGCGGCGCTGCAGAGCAAATGCCAGCAGGACTTCACGAAGCTGACGGACTGCATGGACTACGCGACGGGGCACGAGGAGGCGCCGTCGTCGACGTGCTGCGGCGACATGTCGGCGACGCAGCAGGCGCGGCCCGAGTGCCTGTGCTACATCATCCAGCAGGTGCACGGCGGCCGGAACGAGGTCCAGTCGCTCGGCCTCCGCTTCGACCGCCTCCTCGCCATGCCCACCGCCTGCAAGCTCCCCAACGCCAACGTCTCCCTCTGCATCAGTAACCACCTCCTCCTCCTCCTCCTCCTCCTTCTTCTTCTTCTACCGAGCCATCGTTTCGCTTATGGCATATTTACAAATAAAAAGTAATTTATGAGTAAAACTTTTATGTACATATTCTTAGCGATTTAAAAGCAAATGCTGAAAAATAAATTTCGATGAAAAAACCTTTAAATCAGCTCTAAATTTAAGGTTGAAAATTTAAATTTTGACTGATAAACATAAGCATAGCGAAAAGATATACGCGTAGATTACACGGAAGACGCATACGCACACACCACGCTCATACACCAAATGCGCTTCCTAACAAACAAACATCATTTACTGTTCACTATACTACTTTTTTTTTTTGCATGTGACTGTTCAGTTTTAGGCAAGAACATGACACGCATGCTTCCTATTCAGAATTAGTTAACTTATGTATTTCTAGATCAATTAATTAGGTTCTCACCTTATGTTTTTACTATGTTTTGTGTAGTGAATCGGTTGAATTTTTTTTCAAGTGAATCACAGATTCACAGGTTCTAATTAAGAATCTCACCGATTTCCCCAAGAAAAACCTTGTGGCAGAACAGGAATATTATGATAGCAATTCCAGATTCATTAAAATTGAAGAGGATAGTAGTTTATGGTTTTTTTTTACTGGCCTTTTGCTCGGTAAACTAGAGAGTTTAGAACTCAAGATCCAAGCAAAAGAGAGAGAGAGAGAGAGAGAGAGAAGAAACTGATCTGCCAAGCAGGCCATGCGTTCGTGCGTGTTGGGCCGTGCTGCTTCTGCTCTGGTCTAGTACAAGATTCAGCCCATGCTCTACTTTTCTCCCAATCTCCCCTACTCTTGGAACGAGGGTCAGCTGGTGGAGCTGGAGCTCGGCCAAACAGTTTCAGTCTTTCAGCTCCACTTAAAATGGGAGCAAAACTAGGTGGAGCTCTCTCACAAAATTGAGAGGTGGAGCTAGGTTTAGACAGCTCTATAACTCCTCTTCAGACCTAATTTCTGGAGTTAAATTTAGGAGTTGGAGCTCTAGCAAACACACCCTCATGAGTCTAGTAGTATTTAAACCTTTTTTTTTGTCTGTCAAATCTTCAGTCATGAGTGCTCATGCTTGCAGCAGACTGTTGATCAGTTGATCATGTGTAATTTGCTCTATGTGACCATGCTGTTAAACGTAATTTGACAATGTTTTATATCAACAAATTCTGTTTTTTGAGATGATGCAATTCTAATGTTTGATGATGTCTTGATCTGTTAGACCTGCTGCACCTGACCCCAAGCTCACCGGACTACGCTGTCTTCGCCAACGCCTCCAAGGGTGAGTATTTCCCCCTAAAATCCTACTTCCTCCATTTCAAATTACTTATCATTTTAATTTTGTCTTAAGTTAAACACATATATCTTTGACCATCATTTTTTAAAAAAATCCCTGTAATTTAACGTCATAATATTTATGTTTTTAGATCCACAGTAAGAAATATTTTTATAATATGTTATTCACATGTTATTATACTAAATGAATTTCTAAAAATAAATGGTAAAAAATAAACATGGTTGACTTATGCCAGAGCTAAAACGAGAAGAAATTTGAAACGGAGGGAATATCTTTTTGTTAATAACTCCCCAACATTTTCACTCCTGTCAATGGCGATCAAGAACAACTGAATAATGATTTATCTATGCATCAGTGTCAGTGTGTCACCACAGGGATTGAACACTAGCTACTAACTTGTAAAGAATAAACATGTTTGACCTATGGCAGAGCTAAAACGACAAGAAATTTAAAACGAAGGGAATATCTTTTTTGTTAATAACTCCCCAACATTTTCACTCCTGTCAATGGCGATCAAGAACAACTGAATAATGATTTATCTATGCATCAGTGTCAGTGTCACCACAGTGATTGAACACTACTAACTTGTCTTTTTCTTCTCTCTTTTCTTCAGCAGCGGCTACGACGCCGTCAAGCACCACCCCGGGGGCGGCGGCGGCCACCGCCGGCGGCTTCAAGGTTCAGGCGGGGCTCAGCTACGGCGTCGTCGCGGCGGCGATGGTTTCTGCCGTCTTCTCATCCATCTTCTGATCCGTGAAACAAGCTAGTCACCCACCCATTTTTCTTTGGGAAAAAATCTTTTCTGTCTCTTGATCTCTACGTCGTTCAGCTTTTACTCTGCAAGAAACGAATGCACACTGGATGGATGGATGGATGGTTGGTTTGTGATGTGCTACACGAAGATTCGTTCTGATGTTGTACTCTTTTGTACCCTGATAAATAGATTTGAGACTTGATTTTTGTTCTTCTGTGGCTTGATGCTAGCTAGCTACATTCTGAATACTGATACACGCATATGCTAGTACTAAATCTGAATAATCAATAATGTACCTCATTTTTTCTTCTGAATATTGATACCCTTAAGTCATAATAACATCTTTGTGTGCAAACAACTTTGAGGTAGTAGTAGTAGTAGTACCAAATATTAACAATGTACTTTTGCTGTTTTGCATAAGAGAAAAAAAAACATGGATGTTTTTTCTAAAAAATATTGACATTTACTCAATGTTTTTTTATAATATTTACTGTTGCTAATGGTTTAGCAGTAATTAGAGTGCTTCAGAAATTTATCCATGAAGCTTCCGATTTCGTCTTTTCTTGTACTCCTCTTTGGTTAGAGCTCATAACAATCTTGGAAGCTTTGGATGAACAGGGAAATGAAAAGCAAGTGAAAAACAAAAAAAGCAGCAAATCCTCTTTCTCTGTGGGGGCAATGCAAAGCTTCTTCAGACAATCCAGACCTCTCCTTTGGAGCCTTCCCTGCCTTCTTGCTTGCTTTCACAAGCATCCATGATTCTATGGTTGATCCTTCTGTCCCCCATTTGCTTCTATCTGCGTCTTTATCTAGGCCTGGCCGCTAATACTTTATTGAGTGGATCATCTACTTAAATATGAGAGCGTATTAAATATTTTAATAAATAAAGTTAATAAAGGATGGTATAAAACAAGTGGTATAAAAAACACAGTGGAAGAGAATTTTTCGAGAAAATGTTTGTTTTTAAGTGTGGAGTATTTTTTTTAAAAAATAACGGATTAAAACTCGGCCTCTACACTAATAGGAAGATGTACACAGCCAAGCATGAAGCAAATGATTCGTTCCAATAATCCGGTAAATAATCTGCAAAGAAAAGGACAGTCATATGCTAGCTGTGCCTGATGACTGCATTGCACTGAAACAATTAATCAAGTCTAAGTGCCAATCAGAGATGCTCACTTCACCGGTTGTTTGTACTCTATTATTCCCATCATTCTGATCGTGCTCACCAGAATATGGAATGTTTTGTTGTAACAGCTCAACGATTGGTGACTCAGACGTGTACTGCTCTTAATTAAACGTTAATGAATGCCTGCCACTGTTAACTCCAACAATCAAACTCTTGACAGGAAAAAAAAAACATGTAGCATACAACTTCACTAGAAAGTACTGTACCAAATTTTATTATAATTATTTTTTAGAAAAATAGTGAAAGCTTCATTGAACTCAACTAGATACATCCAGGTGTGACACTCCCAATCTTCTACTACATAACTAAGATATACAACAAAAACACACATCCAAACACTAGTTTTAAAATGAAGGAAAAGAACATAAAGAGTTAATGGCCATCAATCTGTAGACTAAAACTACCACCGATGCTTCATGGTGAAAAACTCCTTAGTCACCCACTCCAGTCACTGACATGTCACTGAAATAAAATCCTAGAAATCAGGTTTCTAAAAGAATCTAGAAATGGAACCAATAAATAGTTAGTGAGATAACATGTAAAGGAGAGAACACTCTTTATTGAAAACCACATCATTCCTACATGGCCATAATAACCAGCACATAGTAGCCGCTCTTAGCAAGATATAATATCTCATATATTTGTAAACTCTCAAACAAATGACACTAGTGGCCGGGTGTAATCACAAATCTAACTACAACGTTTTCGTTAAATAGTACTACATTGGTTGTAAAATGACAAGGGATCTAATATATAAGTGGAGAAGCCGATTACCTTATTGGTTGGCTTTTAGGATGAGAAAGGCCCTTTACGGTCCTACAATTGATATCAGAGTCTGGCTAATTCAATATTTCTGATCTAAGGAACAAAGTGTGTGAATGTCTGATAGATCGTGGGTGACTGGGGGATCATCAGTGTACGGTGAAGAGGCGGTGAACGGCTGAGAGACACCAACGTGTGAATGAGGAGATTGTTAAATAATGCCATATTGGTTGTGGAAGGGTAAGAGAACTGATATAATTAAGCGGGAGAACCATTTACCTCATTGGCTCATTGGTTAGCATTTGGGGTGAAAAAACATTTTACGACGCTACAGTTTTTGCAGTATACTCCCTCCGTACTCGTAAAGGAAGTCGTTTAGGATAATGTTTAAGTCATACCTTGGGAATATAAATTATGAATAACTCTCAAGTTATTGAGTTTGAAAATGTAAAAATTATATAAATAGATTTGTCTTGAAAAATAATTTCATAAAAGTATACGTATATCATTTTTCAATAAATATTTTTATAAAAACAAGAAGTCAAAATTGTGTTTTGGAGACCGTGTCGCTGTTTAAAACGACTTCCTTTACGAGTATGGAGAGAGTACTTAACTAGAAATTGAAAGATTGTTCTTAATCAAATTAAACCTTAGGCCTGGTTTAGTTTTAAACTTTTTCTTCAAATTTCCAACTTTTCCATCACATCAAAACTTTCCTACACACATAGACTTTCAATTTTTTCATCACATCGTTCCAATGTCAACTAAACTTTTAATTTTGGTATGAACTAAACAGACCCTTAGTGACATGACATGCATTGGTACGAGTAATCACCACTTGAACCGACAACCGAGTGAAAATATAAGATTTGAGACAGCCGGCGAGGAGAAATCAAGCCGGGAAATCGTGCGCGCGACGCGCAAAGATGTTGAGCTCCTACGAAAAGCAATCCATCATCCATGTCGTGCGGCGCATGAGTTAATAAGCCTAGCATTGAGCTAAGATTTTTCTCTGGTCAACCCATGATGCTTTGTGCCAAAAAAAAAAACACCTCTTGTTTATTTCGTTTAAAAAAAATTTGATTCTTTGTTCCAACATCGGCCAAGAAAAAAAAAGGAAATCCAGCTTATTAATTAACCATATCTTGATTATTTTTTGAGATAATAAACATATACTAGCCCTGCCAATGTGGCATTAACTGTCAGGACATATAAGAAAACTGTGGGTGATGCCTGCTCGTCGTTCGCCTGAAATAATTCAGAGTCTGGTTCTGAAACAGTTGGAACCCATGTGCCTGCAACTCTGTTACCTAGAATTCCTCTTCTCTGTTTGTGTCTTTTTTATTTTGCTAATCTGCCATTACCTAGAACACATAGTTTAGCCAGGATCAGATTGACTTTCTGGTGAAGCCCACATGGAAAAGGAACAATCATCATCTCACCTGCCAAGAACGAAACAAATGAGAACATATCAAAACAAACGGCTCGAACTCGAATGAGTACATCACTGAGCTAATGTCGATCTCATTTCCAACTCTGATTTGAGTGGCAGTATAATGTTATCCTCCATTGGAATCTCGCAACAACCTTTAAAACGATATATGGACGCTTCTGTTTGTGATCTTCCACGTATCAATGTCATGATCATGGTTCAAGCTTTAGACAAAACTTTTTTTGTGTTGTTTTGAAAAAGTTTTTGTGTTTTAGGCTTATCATGCATCTATAATCTGTTGGCTTAAGGGATGCAGCCATTGTTGTTATCCCAGGTTAGGTCGGACAAATGAGTTCATTTGAATGGGAGCTACTGGGTGCATGATACTCCTATATGTATGATTGACCTATCTGGCGCCCGTTGGGCCGGCAATCCCGGAACGAAGCCTAAAACTGGGGTCAATTTTGGGTCCCAATGCGACCTGCCTAGATGAATACTGCATGTTTTTTTTTTGTTTGATTTTGATAGGAGTACATCTGTACATGAATTGGATTAGCACTACTCCAGAAAGTGATTATGGTTCAGAAGGCACTTAGACACCACCAGAAAACACTGTTAGGCCTCCTTTGAAACATATGAATAAGAAAAATGAAGCATTTTATAGAGAGAAGTTTTACGGTACTTGAGAAAGCAACTCGAGGGACCTATATTTTACAGAATATATGAAAGATACAGGAGTGACCATTTGCATGCTGCGCAGAAATTTGATGAGAGATTCAAAGGAGAAAAAGCTCCCATGAGGTTGAACCTTATGTTAAATTTGCTCCAAAACTCTTATGATTGAATCGTTACATAGGAATTCCACAGTATCCATGGCCCCATTCTTTGCTTAAAAGGGCCATATAGGCAAAATTTCTATATGATTCTACATATTCCTCTATCTAAAAGAATATTTTGTTCCAAAGTGGGCTAGCTTAACGATACCAAAACCACATGGTATTTCTTTAGGTTTCTTACAAAGTTACAAATGCTTTCCAGATTTAATTAAGAAGCTTACATAGTTTTATGCTTTTCGTATCGTTTGCCCTTATTGTGCATTCGAAGGCATCACCTTTTCTGCCCTACCTCTCCCCCTCTTTTATACACACCAAATATGCAAATACCACCTTTTGTATCAGCAACAACTACTAATCCATCTCAAGCCAAAATCTCCACCACTAACCCAATCATTACAAAAAAAGAAAGAAAGAAACTTATTAGCATCTCACCTCTCACACCACTGCTAGTATTACTTATAGCTGGCTAAACCATCCCTTGTGCTGTCTCCTCTCCCTCCGTGTTGCTCCCTTCTTCTTCTTCTTCTTCTTCTTCCCCCTCTCATGTTCTCATCGTCGGCCATGGAGAGAAGGAGAAGAAGCCCGTGCGCCGCCGTCGTGATGGCGGCGGTGGCAATGCTCGCCGTAATGCCGGCGTTCCCCGGCGTGGCGGCGGACTTGTCGGCGGGGTACTACAGCTCGTCGTGCCCCAAGCTGGAGTCCATCGTGCGGTATGAGGTGTCGAGGAAGATCAACGAGACGGTCGTCACCATCCCGGCCGTCCTCAGGCTCTTCTTCCACGACTGCCTCGTCACGGTGAGTTCGATCAGTTCATCATCCTGGATCAAACCATTCAAACTGTTAATTAACCAATCACACAAGCAAATGCTAGTAGGCTGCATCAATCAAATCAATCTGGTTCTTGCTCGAGCCTCTCATGCATCTGAATGAGCATCATTTGCATTAACTGGGTTTATTCATGATTCATCTGTTGGTTTCTGGAGTCAGTTTTAAGTAAGTAGATTCTTGTTAAATTAGTTGGTTCGATGGTCGGTTCTTCACCTGTTCAACTTGCTGGAGCTTTGGAATCATTTTCCTGTCCTCTCTTAATCCAGAAGCCACTCCATTTCCAACGGTGCAAGGCTGCAACTTGCCGCTGCTATGCTTTTCCAGTGGCAGCTTTGGAGCCCTGTGGCTGTACCCCAATCTTCCTCCCCATTGGCCATTCTCTCTCAAATGATTTTCTTTTTACTGAGAGGTGTTCAGATATCTGCAATTAGAAGAAAAAAATCAGGTAATTTGTTTAGGTGGGTCGAGCTGGGAGAAGGTAGAGAGATTAGAGAAGAGAACAACTCGATTACCTCGCTCGCGTGGTCGTCGGTTGCGGCAGCGATGCATGTGACGACGCGACTTTTCATCAGTGACGCGCATTATCAAATTGCGGCCGTGTCGGATCCATCCATCTCATTCTCCTCTCCCACTTTGCTCTTCAGAATCTTCAGAACCAGCAATCAATTCATCTGAAAAAAAAACAAGGAGAAAGAGGCATATTAGTATTAATCCAGTCACTAAATAGTATAATTAGTAAAAGGTTTTAAAGTTTAAGAAAAATCAACTAGCCTTCTTTCTTCAAAGGTAGAGGTACCAATCAACATTTTCAGTGCAGGGTTATAGAGTAGTATTAATTAGTTGAATGCTCCCTAAAATACTGTTACTAGTTCAGCGAGTGAAGAATAAAGATTAAAGAGATGCCTGACATGTCACGCGCTTAATGATGTTTAGTGGTGTCCTGGCAATCAATCAGCTGGCATCTCGTCTTTTCCCTTTTGATGTTTCGAAGAACATTTTTCCTTTTGGGTTTGACCACATATAGGAATAAGATGCAGCGCGTGAATGCACGTAGAGCACCAGTTGTATCGGCCCCACCCGGTAGCCTATACATGAACGAGCTAATATATAGTTTAACTTTCTAATTGTATAAAATAATTATAAACAGCAACTTGGAAGTAGAAATGCAGAAAGAATCATTGTGGTTTACACTATTGAATAAAAACTGAGTAAAAAGATTTTTACAGGGGTGTGACGCTTCGGCCTTGATTTCGTCCCCAAATGACGACGCCGAGAAGGACGCGCCGGACAACATGTCCCTCGCCGGCGACGGCTTCGACACCGTGAACCGTGTCAAGACCGCCGTCGAGAAGGCCTGCCCCGGCGTGGTCTCCTGCGCCGACATCCTCGCCCTCGCTGCCAGAGACGTCGTCTCCCTCGTAAGCCTCTGCACCTCAAATCACTTCCAGAAGCTCTCACTCTGACAATCGCCATAGTACATGATCCTCTGCAGTCGACTTCACCGTGCCTTTGTCATTGACATGTGAGCCGACGACACATCGGGCCTACATGTCAGTGATAAAGACACGATGCAGTGACTAGAGAGGATCCTGATCCCTTACAAGTATACTGACAATGGCCACCATCAACCACAGGCGTCCGGGCCATGGTGGTCCGTGGAGCTCGGCCGGCTGGACGGCCTCGTGTCCAAGGCGAGCGACGTCGACGGCAAGCTGCCCGGGCCGGACATGCGCGTGACGAAGCTCGCCGCCGTGTTCGACAAGCACGGGCTGTCGATGCGCGACATGGTGGCGCTCTCCGGCGCGCACACCGTCGGCTTCGCGCACTGCACCCGCTTCACCGGCCGGCTGTACAACTACAGCGCCGGCGAGCAGACGGACCCGTCCATGAACAAGGACTACGCGGCGCAGCTGATGGAGGCGTGCCCGCGCGACGTCGGCAAGACCATCGCCGTCAACATGGACCCCGTCAGCCCCATCGTCTTCGACAACGTCTACTACTCCAACCTCGTCAATGGCCTCGGCCTCTTCACCTCCGACCAGGTGCTCTACACCGACGGCGCGTCGCGGCGCACCGTCGAGGAGTTCGCCGTCAACCAGACCGCCTTCTTCGATGCCTTCGTGAGCTCCATGGTCAGGCTGGGGAGGCTAGGGGTCAAGGCCGGCAAGGATGGAGAGGTCAGGAGAGACTGCACTGCATTCAACCACTAGATGGAAAGCAGCGGCAGATTGTAATTCAGAAATGTGTTGCTCTGATGAGTTTGATACATATAATGAGCTTGATTCTTTTGCATACAGTTTTCCAAAAGTTTGAGTGTGTTTTCTTACTTCTTTTTTTCTTTCTATGTGCTTATTTTTTTCGATGAATTTTTGTACAGACTGAAGAGTGTAATACGTACAATGGATACATTGAGGATTCTCTATTGAAATGATTAACAAGATGGATAGGGCTAATAAAAAGGAAATTAGTTTGACTTATGATTCAGTCTGTACAAATGCAAGTTTTCACCACCAGGTGATCATGTTAGGAAGCTGAAAGAAATCAATAAAGACCAAGAAATCAAACTTTTGATTGGGCGATTCTGAAAATTTCAGTATAATCAAGGGAAGGGAAGACGAAACAGAAGGAGATAAAAAACATATATGCCTACGAAATGCATTGGAAATTTGAAAATGATGGCTTTCAGAAATGTTAACTTATTATTGACCTCAAACTGCTGAAAATACACAATGCCACAGGCGACTTCTGAATATCCAATAGCCAGTTTGTTCCATCATCACAATGAATGAGCAGAAGAAAAGTCTGAATAATACGGCAATTGAAAAAACACAATGAATGCTCACTTCAGAACGGCATATCAACGAATTGAAATCAGCATCACTACCTTAATCTGAGATTATCGAGATACCTGATTGCTGAGATCCCGAACATAGGACCATTCCGTCAAAAAAAAAACATAGGACCATCTGAAGAGAGTGAGAGACCACCTCAGGCAATCAGATGTAGGAGGTGAGGTCATACAGCTCAAAAGCAGCATCTCCTGAAGAGGCCCCGTGCCTAGGATAATATGAAGAGGCTCACTGCAAGTAGCAGTAGCAGATGGAGCTTAAATCTGAAGGTGCAAATGGAACATATCTCCTGAAGAGCCTGTGGAAATAATTGCAACACCAATGCTCACAGATCTATTAATCTTCCCTGAAGGAAGGTGTAGCCTCTTCAAGCATAGAGATTACCTGGACACTTTCCAAATGTTCTTTGACGAAGGAGTCCCTTACCTTCTTTTTTTAAAAGAAATGTCTCTTACCTTCTTAGGTTCTTCCTCCTTGAAACATCTCATACATTTGGGGATTCCGTCTACCAAGTGAAAAGATAAAGATATTATGCTCATTCCCTACAACATATGGTTATACGAATCCCCTGGTAAGCAATTGTGCAATAGTGCAGTGCAGCAACCGAAACCACTATAAGAATTCTGATCCCACACCCAGGAATGTAATTACATGCAGAAAATAAATCCATGATGACCAATAAAGTGTGTCTACCAAAACGAAGAAAGTTATCCCTGGTTAATTATCTGATTCTAGGAGAATTGTTGCATATGTATAGGTTTAACATGCGAGCTCCACGCTCTATAAACTTAGCCACAAAACATGATCCAAAATAGCAAATGAAGGCAATATTTCAGTTGAGTACATCTTAAAAAAAATTGCACATGACCTGGTAACTTAAATCGGTAGTCTGTCCTTGCGGCCTTTAGCAACAAGAACCGCTGAACAACATAGATTACAAATAAACATGTAAATACTTATCCACATTTTGCACGATTACAAACCAAATGTTATTTTCGCCCATAGGAATAGGATAGATATATCACCAATAGTAATTTGAGTCACATATATGTAGTCAGTAGCCACCCATTACCTTAAAAAAGAAAGATTGCATCCTGAAGATCTGAACCACTTCGAAATAATCAGAAACACACTTCATCAGGAAAGCACGATACGCCAATGCACATTTTTCATTTTCTGACTCCATCTATGAGAAACTGATGACAGTAGAGTGAAAATTTATAACTACAAGTCACTCATAAGCAGTACATCAATGTACAGTAACCAGAACATCCCAGTCATTTAAGACAAAAAATTCTAGTCTCCCAATCATTCCTAGGTTGCATTCTACTGTCTGTTTTACCAGGGAAAACAAAACCCAAACATGTATTTTCATCTCTATCACAATATTTTCTTTCCACAATCAGCTTAATTGAACTTCACCAAAGTGGTACTCAGCACAAAATTTCTCTATCAAGAAAAAAAAATTCTATCAACAGATTGTTGTGGTTTATAGTAGTGAGAACCTATGTTCAGCAATAAATCTGTCTTAATTATCCTAAAGACCTATGGACTTACATCACCATGTTTTCATTTGTGTCCACTGGCACTCACTGCACAGAAGACATGTAGATCTAACAATCTTCTGTATTGTCCTTGTTCGATCTCTTCCTCATTTGCGCCGTGTAATAACAGGAGCTCAATGATACAGTCCTCCCAGTCAATACCATCAGAGGGAGCTCCTTTCCGTCTCTTCTTCTCACCACCTGGACCATCCGGCATCTCTATTGGAAGCTCTCCATTCATGGCACGATCACTTCCAGCTATCCTCTTTTTGCCTCGCTTCTTCCTGGCCGGTTTTTGCGGTGAGCAGGCATCTTCATTTCTCAGAGCAGCCTGCAATTTATTCTCGCTCTCAACAGGACCTTTTCTAATCGCATCAATTCGGCACTTAGCAGCTTCAATCCGTGCTCTCCTTTTCTTCTGCAACTTCATTCCAGCAGCAAACGATGGCGGAGGAACATCAAAGCCGACGTCAATATTCACTACATCCTCCAACACCATGTCCTTGGTCCAACCATCATCCAGCGAATCTATACATGGCTCCAGCTCCAGCCCTCCTATCCGCTGCCTCTTCCTGTTAGCACCTTTACCAACTTGCCCAAGTCTTTGTAGTTGAGCAAGCCTCTTCAAGACATTTTGGTAAGCACTTGATAGGCACTCCTCCGAGATCTTAAAATTCTCCAATTCCTTCCCCTCCTGCCCGGAATTATTGGAATCCAAATCATCAGAAGCCAATTGGGGAGCAACCTGAAGGTACTTGGATTCATCATCATCAACGGCTGAGCACGCCTGCACAATCCCGGCAATGTCCGGAGCGAAGCTCTCGAGAAACTGCTCTGATGGGTCGGACTGTGACCTCATCTCCATGAGCCGGAGCAGCACGGGTGCGTTCAGGAGCAAGTTCTTCGCATTGACATCGGCGCCCCACGGCAGCAGCTCCCGCGCGACGCGCACCAGCGCATCGACGAGCTCCTTGTACCGGCGGAGGCTGGTGTGCAGCCTCGCAGAGATGTCCCGCGCAATGTCCTCCACGGTGATGGAGGTGACCCCGTTCGCCTCCGCGGCGAACGCGACGAGGGCGGCGATGAGGGGGAGAGGGAACCGCCCCGTGGTGAGCGACCACTTGGAGGCGCAGCGGAGGAGGAACCGGGATTGGGAGAGGATCACCTCCGTCCTCTCGCTCGCGGCGGAGGACAGCGAGGGCGAGGAGCGCACGGCGCGCTCGAGCGCGGCGGCGTAGTCGAAGGACGGGAGCGGGGGGAGCGAGAGGTGGGAGGCGATGCGGGAGACGAGGTCGGCGAGCGAGGCCACCGAGCAGAAGGCGGTCTCGGCGGCCTCGGCCAGGGAGAGCGGGAGGCGGTGGGACCTCGCGACGAGGAAGGCGCAGGCGGAGGCGAGGGCCGGGAGGAAGGCGGAGCCCTGGGTGGCGAGGTTGCCGCCCGTGGCGGACTTGGCCATGGCGAGCGCCTCGTCGGCGGCGGTGGGGGAGAGGCCGAGGCGGGCGGCGATGGAGGCGATGGTGACGACGCCGTTCGAGAGCTTCTGGTCCCGGTACTGCGACTGCGACTGGTGGTAGACGAAGGAGGAGGCGCGGAGGTCGTACACGCCGTTGTCGGTGCAGATCGACTGGTGGACGAACTCCGACGAGCCGGAGTCGTGGATGCGGCCGCAGGAGGTGCAGACGAGCACACCGGTGTCCGGGTCCGCCACCACCGCGCCCTCGCCGCACGACCAGCACGTCGACTCCATCGCGCGCCGCGGCGGCGGCGGCCGCCGGTGCGAGGGCGGGCGGCGAGGCTTGCGGCGGAAGAAACGAAAACGAAAACGAAATTGGATGGTGGGGGATTCGATTCGAGGCGGCGGCGTCCCGTTTTTACGATTTTATTTGTGCCAACCGAGTCACGAATACCTAGAAGAGGGGAATTCGAGGTTTTCGGAGATTCAAAAACAATTTCCCCTAATTTCAGAAGGAAAATATCCAAATATCCAAATCTCGTAGATTCTGTTACAGAGCGAGGTTGCAGCCTGCAGATACGGTTCAGAAAATCAGATTCAGGTGGTGCAGAGTCTTTTTCTGTTTTTCAGTAAAGACATGCCAATATCCTCGGGCAATATCGATGATCATAAATTGAACTTGCAAAAATCCTCAGGCAGATGATCAACTTTTCTCTCTCTTGTTTTCCCCCTCATATGAGAAGCACTTCATTATATATCAACATACCGGAAAGAACAATGTTCCTCCTTGACAAAGCAACGCTATTTGTACATGTATACATGCGATTTTTAAAGTTTTTACACAGCAAAAGTTGAAAAGCAAAACACATCTCCACCGTGCACCGGTACACGTCGATACTTCAAGATACTGAACAACGATCGTTCTTTCAGTAGCCACTGATAACTTCATTAACTTATGATAGCGCAAGAATGCCTCTCAGAAACAGAAGGAAGATAACAAAACTTCACCCTTCTGCTCTCCAACGAATCAACAGGACTTGGGGTGAAAATCCGAGATAGTAGTATATGCGTTGATAACATTTATAAATTTTGTTTCCTTCTGGGTCTTGACTGATGATATTCTTCATGTCCTGGGGTTCCCATACAGATTGGCGTACACAATCTTCGTCCGGTAGATGAGGATCAAGCTCAGGACAGCAGCAACAATGCAGAACCCAGACATGATCAGAGACGAAAGGAAGAAGCAGATGGCCCCCTCACACTTCAATGGCTGAGTAGCATCCGAGGCCATGGCAAGCAATCTCCCAGGCATTGCCAGCAATGTCGAGTTATGGTGCTGGTGAGCCTGCTTCTCAGCTTCAGAGTCGTATATGCCACTGGCAATAATGCCTGAGAATACAAGGGAGCCTGCTGGATTCGCGACGGTAAGGAAGTTGTACAATGCTCCGAAGTTCTTCAGGCCGAAGAGTTCGGAGGCTGCAGCTGGCACAATTGCCCAGTGGGCACCATAGCCAAGACCAACAAGCAGTGTGCCGATGTACATTGCACCCGGCCAAGCCATTGCAAAGGAGAAGTGCCCAAATGCCATAAATACTTGAGCTGTCGCTAACGCAATAGCCCTTGGATATGCATAGTCCCTGAAAAAGGATCAGAGAAAAAGGGATCAGATTAGAATTAATACAAAGATAAAAGGGTGCCAGTTTAAAAGGACAAGTAAACAAAGAGTACAATACTAGTTTCTTGTACTCCCTCCGTCACTAAATATTTAGACGAACGGTCAAACATGTTTAAAAAAGTCAACGGCATCAAATATTTAGGGACGAAGGGAGTATTTAGTTGTCATTTTAGTTTCTTGCACTTAGTTTTTTGTCTTCTTTGTGAGCACATGCACTGGAACAAAGAGTAGAATGTTTGTTTTACTCAGTCAGGAAAAAAAATGCATTTGAACAAAAACTAATGGAATAAACGATTACTCATGGTTTACAAAAATATTGACCAGCAAGAAATGCCATATACCCAGCAAACGCTATGTTTGTGCTGCCGAAAGCATTCATACTTGCATTATGCAATTTGCAATTGGATGTCATTCCATAGTTTCACTTTCACTTCCGTATGAACCAAACAATACGAATCATTAGATGCTGCTCCTTATGCGCTAAATAATATTAATCATCAGATGGATCACAAAGATATACTCCCCCCGTTTCATATTATAAAACTTTCTAGCAATGCCCACATTCATATATATGTTAATGAATCTATATGTGTAGATTCATTAACATATATATGAATATGGGCATTGCTATAAAGTCTTATAATATGAAACGGAGGAAGTATATTTTTAATTTCAGTAAACAGCTACTGTAGATTTCTTACTTGACAATAAGCTCTGAAAAGTAGCCCCCACCAATGCGTCCAAGGAAGTTCCAGATGCTAATCATCGAGACAAAAATGTGACTATCCTCATAACCCAATGACTGGCTCATTTGCCCAAGATTATCTATCACAGTAAGACCTGATCCTGATCCCAACAGAAGGGAGAAGAATAGTAGCCAAAAATCTGCCTTGATCAATGCCTGCATCAATGTGAAATCCTCTCCTCTTCGTGGACCTTTTCTCCTCTTGACCCTGACAGCGCCAACAGCAGCTGCCTGGAATAGCTTTGTCTGCAATTCAGCTATCCTCTTCTGCCTCTCTGAGGCTGGAAGTAGATCCACTTCCTTTGGCTTTTCATCCTCCACCTCACTGAATATAACCTCAGTTTGCTCTTCAGATGGTGTTGACGCACTTGCTTCTTCTTTCCCTGGTGATTGCAACAGTGATGCATAGGCACTCTCATCGTTATCTGAGAAGAAGCTGAGTATCACAGGGATGACTATTGGAACTATCAAGAGGACGATTAGAATGATGGTCAACAAGACCATCACTGTGTGGCTCAAGTCGACAAGGTCCCCCAGTATCATCACACCCATCAGATAAGCAGCCAAAAGCAAGCAGACACTGTATACAAACGTGAAACTTGTACCATCAGAAGGCCGCACTTGCCTGTGTCCTCCAACTGGTCTGACAATGAACATTAGCGCAATAACCACCATTGTTGGACCAACAGCAACCATGAAGATCAATGCCGCATGATCAGGTGAATGTATCATCGCATACATCTGCGTTAGGATTGCACCACTCAAACCAGCAAATCCCTTGAGGATACCGACAATCGGTCCACGGCTCTTGGGGAAGTTCTGAACACATGAGACGAGAGCAGCCGTATTGAAGTATGTCTCACCATTAGTACCAATAAAGATAAGAATGCACATCTGTTGAGAGATGAGATGAGAGGCTTTCAGCACAAGAATCAACATGAATAAAATTGAAGGAATGTGAAAGGTAAATATAGATCTGTTCATATCATATATGGCAATCGTGTGAGATTCCAAATGCCACCAACTGAAATAGCAAAAGCAATGGTGGAAGAGGCTACGATTTAGCACTCGACTAGAGCATCTTTGCCTCAGTTTAGTCTGTAGACTGGCAGAAATCTTTGTAAATGTCCTTCTTGCTCTATTAATACATAAGAGGCAAAAGCTTTTGCCCTTCTTCTTATTCAAAAGAAAAAGAATGGACTAACGTAATTGTGGTATTAGTCTTTCCACATGCAAAGGGAATTGTATTCCAGCCCTATTGGGTGTACCTTGAAATGCATAGTTGGATCAAGAAAGATCTTGGCGCCAAAATATCGATATTAGACGCTGAATGCATGAATTAAAACCAAATGAAACAGAAGGTAGTGAAGTGAAATCTATTTCCTTAAAAAAAAAGTGGTGACTAACATTTCAACAAGCTATTAATTACTCTAATGCATCATACAGCTAAAAAAATCAACGGAAAATCTAAAATTTTCAACTATTCGAACTGAATATAGTGAGACATCAAAATCCTGCATATTCTGAGTACAACACTGCAAATTCCCCGATAAATCTACTCTTTGAAACAATGAGCACTCAGAATGGTTCCTGAAGTGTGAACATAATTTTCAGTTTAAGTATATCTTTTGTTGAGAATATGTAATAGAAGTGTACCCTAAACATTCATTGTTTTTAGATCAACAAGATTTCAGTTCAGAAGTTAATCAGACCATGTTTGCCTAATGGGAAAAGGGAAAATATGGTCTTCCTGAAACATATAGAAAACAATACCATCTAGACAAGGACACTAATCTTGTGCCTACTAAGTCCTCCCACATTTGGCATGGGAAGTTACTACTTCCTGATTCTAATCTTAGAAACTTCAACATTTTTCAAAATGCAGTAGCTATTAGAGACATGTACCAGAAATATTACCTGCATATGGAGATTTAACATTTAAGGCTTCGAAATATTACCGGCTGTGTTTGGAGGTGGGTGTTGGAAACCCATATCCCATACACGGAAAACGGAGTGGTCCATTAGCGCGTGATTAATTAAGTATTAGTTAATTTTTTTAAAAAAAATGGATCAATATGATTTTTTTAAACAACTTTTATATAGAAACTTTTTGCGAAAAATGCACCGTTTAGTAGTTTGAAAAGCATGCGCACGGAAAAAGATAGGAAAGTGTTGGGAACTTGCTCTTGCAAACACACGATGCTATTTCACTTATTATTCACAAAAGTTTAGGTGATTCAGACAGGTGTATTCTACTATCCTTCACAGATACTGATTGGGGATGGTGAAGTTCTAGGCTGAATATTGTTCAAATAAAAAGTTCTCATGAGATATGTAAATTAAGGTATAATCAAAGGCACATGGGAAGCAAGAAAGCAACCACTAACTGTTTCTACAGACAAGGAAACATATTCAAGTATTCAACAGGTCGTATGTTGGAAATATTCTTCACACATGTCATACAACATGAGAAAAAAATTGTTTGAGCCAATGAAATTCTGATAGTGATTTCTGAATATAAATTCAGTATTTTAGATCAAAAGCGTTTCATTTTCAGAGTGTTTGAACATCTAACAAAGTTTCTTCTCCATGATTGAACACTGTACTGGAGTCCAACTGCAAATAGTATCTCCAATCCCCAAACAAGGAGGTATGAATAGTTTGCAGATCCCAATCCTAGAAACTTGAACCGTACAAAACCCAGTAGAAGTAAATTAAAACCTGACGAACCACTAGTCCACTACACACATTGTTAAACAAGCCTGTAAAATTTTCAACATAATTTCCACACTAACCAACGTGCACGCTTCAATAACAAAAAAAAAAAAAGAAGTCGCAGGCAGAAAAATGCTAGAGATGAGTAGCAAGCATGTGGTAGATCATGAGATAGACTGTAGCACATGCGGCTGCCTGCAATGAAGATGAGAGGTGGAAGCGGAAAGGGAAGGGAAGGGATCTGAGACTGACCGCCCAGAGCGGGGGCACGGGGGCGCGGTGGGTGACGGCGAGCCAGACCCAGCCGTAGCCGAAGAGGTTCTGCGCGGCGCCGACGAGGACCGCGGCCCAGAGCGGGAGCACGGCGGAGAGCGTGCCGGCGAGGAAGCCGACGCTGTCGCCCAGGTCCTTGGCGACCCCGAGCCCCGCCACCTCCCGCTGGTTGTACCCCAGCGAGGCCTTGATCACCGGCGAGATGCTCCCGAACAGGTACCCCACCCCGGCGAACGACTGCATCCACATCGCCGCCACGAACACCAGCCACCTGTTCCGCACGAACCCCCTCACCCTTCCCCCCACCTCCACCATTGCTGCACCACCACCACCTCCAACCACGGCGGATTGGTGTACGCCGACGATCCCCCCCACCTGCCGAAACAGTGATTGCTACTGGTAATCCAGCACGAGCCGAGAAAGCAGAGCAGATTGGAACACGGAGGAGGAGGAGAAATCCGGCGAGAATTCGCTGCGTTTCTATGGACGAGACGAGCTCGGCAACTCGGGGAGACGGGGAGGAGGACGAGACGACGTCGCCCTCGCCGCCTCCTCGCCGGGGGTGAAAGAGACCGGACAAGCCAGGCTGGCAGTGGCGCTCTGCCGTCAGATGCGGAATCGACGGTTTATTTTGTCGACACGTGGCAGTCTTGACCCGAGAGAAAACGTCCGTTTCCGAGAGCATTCAAGCGCGGCCGCCCCTGTCGTTTCCCTGTCAGTTTGTGGGCCCACCTATCATTCCGCTGGTGGTGGTGGTCCCGCCTCAACTTTTTGTTGGGCGTTACGGCCCATAAAAATCCGGCCCAGTATGAAAATTTCTGGATTCTTCTGTCCAATGGGTTAGCGTCCGTCCCACGCGAACCCCTCACCCCTTGAAATTGCCCTTTCACACGACGCCCTCGTCTTCCTCCTTTCTCTTCTCCCTAGCGCCTCCTTTCCAGAAGCTTCCAAACCCTAGGCGAGCGAGAGAGGCGAGACGCCATGGACGCGGACGCGGTGGCGAAGGCGTTCGTGGAGCACTACTACCGGACGTTCGACACGAACCGGCCGGCGCTGGTGTCGCTGTACCAGGACGGGTCCATGCTCACCTTCGAGGGCCAGCAGTTTCTCGGCGCCGCCGCCATCGCCGGCAAGCTCGGCTCCCTCCCCTTCGCGCAGTGCCACCACGACATCAACACCGTCGACTGCCAGCCGTCGGGGCCGCAGGGCGGCATGCTCGTCTTCGTCTCCGGATCCCTCCGCACCGGCCCCGACGAGCACCCCCTCAAGTTCTCCCAGGTTCGTGCTATTCGCTTCCCCCACCTCCTCCTCCTCGATCTGTTTGATTCAAATACGCGCAGATCTGATCTGCTCTGATCTGATCCGATCTGTGGTTGATCTCGTGATTCGTGGTTTGACTTGGTTCGTTACTAGTAGCAGCGGCTTGTTTGATGTGGTGCTTACTGTTGTGATGATTGGGTTCGGTCACTATGTCGGTAGATTGATTGATGCACTAGTTGTTTAGTGACGAGTTGTGAGCCTACGATTGGACTTGTGGGTAGTGGGGGTATTTGGATCCTCGTAGTTCCTGATGTTCCTGATGCATTCCCTATCAATATTCCACTTACTCTCTTAGCAATTCTTTAATTTGATTAACCTTTTGTTATTAGATTGGATTGTTCTTCCAACATGACACCGTTTGATTCTCCAGCAATTTCTGGAATTCTTGGTGGGCTATTGAGTAGTATTAAATTATCATGGTTCTAGCAACTAGATCATGCTATGACAACTGGCTAATATGGTGCTCCTTCATTGTTTCATGGCCTTCAGTTCCATTGCTCTCGTTAATCTAATGGTGGCAACTCTCTCTCTCTCTCTCTCTCTCTCTCTCTCTCTCTCTCTCTCTCTCTCTCTCGCATGACTACACTAAGTTTAATGGTGGCCTTCAGTTCCATCTGAGTATATATATGTGATGGAATGATTCATAGAACAATTACACTATACTAGTGGATCAAAAATAAATTTGCTTGGTTGATTTCTAACAAATATTAATATTGTTGTTGGCATGTCAGTGGTTTTTTGTGGAGTATATTAACTGATTTACAAGAATCTTAATTCCTGTTTATCTTGATTGTAGGATGTGGATATTGCTTGTGTTTGTATTAATTTGTTACTATTGATGATAAGATGAAAGCTGTCTTCAGTTATGGCAGCATTTGTGCAATTGATCGCAGGCTTATAGTAAAATTGAAATTTTTTAGTAGTTTGATTAGGAAAATATTGGAGGCAACTTTGGGGATCTTGCATTCTAGTTATTTTTAAGTTTTTATGTTTGATCAAGTTCTGTTTGATTTAACATAACATGCAATATACTTATGATAAGTGCTTCCCATCTATAGTCAGGAGGCCATTTCCATGAAAATTGAAGTTGATTGGCAAATCTTAGTTGAAATGAGTAATAACATGTGAATGCCATCTTTTCTACTACCTTGATGGTTGAAAACACGTTATTTGTGCAGAACAATAGTTTCAAACTCTTAACTGTGATGCTTATGTATTCGAACTTTGCAAGCTCTACGGACATAAGTGAAATGAACCTAATTCGATTGGGAATAATATTCCAAACATGCTGTCACTTGATGCATCTTCAGTTTATGTCCAGAATGATTCCTCATGTTCACTGAACTTGTGATTTCCAACATTTTACAGATGTTCCAGCTGCTTCCCGCTGGAGGCAACTTCTATGTGCAGAACGACATGTTCCGTCTGAACTATGGTTAAGGAAAGCTGGATAGTCATCCATCAACGTACTGGGCCAGTGTTTTATGTTGAAACTATGAGATGCTGTTGCTCTTTTGATTGTTTATCGACTGGTGCAAATTATTGCAAGAAATGGTGTTAAAAGACTATGCACCTTCTGGATTTGTTCTTCTATGTTTCTCCCATGAACTGTGGTATGGAGGCACCATTTATGTGGAATGTGAATGAAGACAGCCTAAAAGATTTTATCATGTCTGCATTTTCGTCCTGTTTTGCTGTTTGGTTTCAGTCTATGGGCGTTATTTTCGTTCGCTCTTCTATATCTGCATTTGCGCCCTGTATTTGCTTGTTGGAAGCACCATTTATGATTTATGTGATTCTGTGGTAGGTTTACCTTCTCTTTTTGAGACGGCATTATTTGTTCTTGGAAGACAAGAATATTCTTGACTAGTTTGATTTGCCTCTATCTGATGCCCAGAACATATACCTCCCTTCGCAATTGGGATAAATCTAGAAACAAAAATTGCCACTGAAGTTTAGTTCCAATTGTAAGGGAACACTGCAGCGCCGTGGCCGACTGTTTCGCATGTTTAAGGTTTCATTCAAACGGCAATCTTCTGTCGAGTTTTTTTTTTACTATTTGACAAGTCTGTTGTACATAAAAATCCCTCTTAAATCTCTCTTCTCCATGTGTTCTCACAATCAACAATAGCCCAGACCCAACACAATGTCATCATCGTAGTAAAGGGCTGAGATTAACGAGTGTTAACGCGTCGTTCACTCGTCGCAGCAGATCAAAGCAGCGTGTTCTAGAATCCACCCAAAGACGACCGGTAATGCCACGTTTCATTTAGTGGTTTATATAAGGAACATTTTCCAGTCTACTACTTCCAACACGAGCGTTTTACCTTCCACAACCACAATCCACAGCCTTTGTACAGTACAGCACACGGACTTGAAGCCCAGCACATTTGAAACAAGAAGCAACATAAAACCCACCATATGGACCAACCGACCTCTCGGCCCATGCTACAGGGGTGGGTTGGTGATGAATTCTCCGAAACCCCTCGAGCTCACATGAACCGTCCGATAGAGATCGTACGGATGAAAACAAACCATAGTCCACGACCTACACGGGGTCAATGACGAATTCTCCCAACACCCATGAACCGTCCGATATGGATCGTACGGATGACAACCAACCATAGCCATAAAACCCACGCTACGAGGGGGTTCGGCGATGAATTACCCGAACTCCCGTGAGCTCACAACAACCGTTCGATGGAGATCGTACGGCTGAGTACCAATCGTAGCCTCTTCTTTTTCTCACTAAAAAAACGATCTGACCGGTGGACCCATGCGGCACCTTAAAGACCCAATCGCACCAAACCCCCCTGATTTTTCTTATCCCCTCCCTCATCTTCTCCACGCACCCACCCCTCGAGAGGGAAGAAGGAACCCGGAAAGGGAGGAAAGCATGGCCGGAGCAGCAGCCGCCTCCGCCGCCGCCGCCGCCGTGGCGTCCGGGATCTCGGCCCGGCCGGTGGCCCCGAGGCCCTCTCCCTCGCGCGCGCGCGCCCCACGGTCCGTCGTGCGGGCGGCCATCTCCGTCGAGAAGGGGGAGAAGGCGTACACGGTGGAGAAGTCCGAGGAGATCTTCAACGCCGCCAAGGTGACCCGCCTCCTCTCTTTCCTCTCCTTGTTGCGTGGAGATGCGTCTCCTCGCGCTTCGTTCAGGGGGGGGGGGGGGTTACTCCATTACTTGCGGCATTTCTGTGACTGCGAATTGTGAGATGACGCTCGTTTGCGCTCCATTGATGGGACCTGTTCTTGGGTTGAAATTGGTGGGCAAGATGGCGGTGTTTCTTCGTTCATGCCAGCGATGCGATATGTGGGGTATAGTCGGGTGGAATTTCAGTTATGTTTTGGATGGGAACCATGGGCTGTGAGAGTTGGACAATGTGAGCTTTTGGCAAGGTCAACTGTGTTCGTAGTCCAGGTTGTTAGATTAAGATGGACATATATCATAGACAGCTAGACACTGCATCAATCATTTAGGTAATATTCAAGCAAACAAAAACTAGTTTCAAAGTACATGGTCCCTAGAGAGTACATCTATGAATCTATGATGATTTTACCATCCCAATTTGGATCATGATCTTGATGGGTGTATTGGTTATCGAAGGCACAATTGCCATAATTAATAGAACTGAATAATGTAAAATTCCTATATATAAATTTCCAGGCTTATTATGCACTTAACCATCCCCTTAGATTCATGTTTAAAAAAAAGGGAAAAGGCCATGGTTTCCACTTTTTACTGTGTAGACTAAAATCGGTTTATATCCTTGTTAGAATGCATACCGACTGATATTAACATCCATGCTGGTGCAGCCTATATCCTTATTCAACAATTTGAATTCCTTTTATGTTTGATGTCTTAGTCAGAGTTGGATATTTGTACTGATGGATGTTTCGCGGCATTACAGGAGTTGATGCCTGGGGGTGTTAATTCACCAGTTCGTGCCTTCAAATCAGTTGGTGGGCAGCCCATTGTGTTTGATTCTGTGAAGGGTTCTCGTATGTGGGATGTGGATGGAAATGAATATATCGATTATGTTGGTTCCTGGGGTCCTGCGATCATCGGTCATGCAGATGATACGGTACAGCCTTGTTCCTTTTCCCTTCTGTATGCTTCATAAAATTTACGAGACTGGAGTTTCAATCTAAACCTTTTTGTATTACCTGAATCCAAACCATGGTACTAAAATCTTGTTGTTTTATTCAGGTGAATGCAGCATTGATTGAAACTCTAAAGAAAGGAACTAGCTTTGGCGCTCCATGTGTGTTGGAGAATGTGTTGGCTGAGATGGTCATCTCTGCTGTACCAAGTATCGAAATGGTCCGTTTTGTCAATTCAGGGACAGAAGCCTGCATGGGAGCGCTGCGCCTTGTGCGTGCATTCACTGGGAGAGAGAAGATTCTCAAGTTTGAAGGTTGTTACCATGGCCATGCAGATTCCTTCCTTGTTAAAGCTGGCAGTGGTGTTGCCACCCTTGGCCTCCCAGACTCCCCTGGAGTCCCCAAGGGAGCCACATCTGAGACTCTAACGGCACCATACAATGATGTCGAGGCAGTGAAAAAACTGTTTGAGGAGAACAAAGGGCAGATTGCTGCTGTCTTCCTTGAGCCCGTTGTTGGCAATGCTGGCTTCATTCCTCCACAGCCCGGTTTTCTGAATGCTCTCCGTGACTTGACGAAACAAGACGGTGCACTTTTGGTCTTTGATGAAGTGATGACGGGTTTCCGTTTAGCTTATGGTGGGGCTCAAGAATACTTCGGGATCACCCCTGATGTGTCAACATTGGGGAAAATCATCGGTGGCGGTCTTCCAGTTGGCGCTTATGGTGGACGTAAGGACATCATGGAGATGGTTGCTCCAGCAGGGCCAATGTACCAGGCAGGAACCCTCAGTGGAAACCCTCTAGCTATGACTGCTGGAATCCACACACTCAAGCGTCTGATGGAGCCTGGAACCTACGATTACTTGGACAAGATCACTGGTGATCTTGTTCGCGGGGTATTGGACGCGGGTGCGAAAACTGGACATGAGATGTGTGGAGGACACATCAGGGGGATGTTCGGGTTCTTCTTCACCGCTGGCCCAGTTCACAACTTTGGTGACGCGAAGAAGAGTGACACCGCCAAGTTTGGGAGGTTCTACCGGGGCATGCTTGAAGAAGGTGTGTACCTAGCTCCATCCCAGTTTGAGGCAGGTTTCACCAGCTTGGCACACACCTCCCAGGACATCGAAAAAACCGTGGAGGCAGCTGCGAAAGTTCTTCGCCGGATATAGAGTCTTCGACAGTTGAGCTTAGCTACGGCTTGTGAATCACTTGCTATTTTTCATTTGTGTTGTACACTGTTAGTTCTACATCACTCAAAATCTGTATTGTGCAGCAGCGGTACATTTCCTCTAGCCCCCATATCATTGTGAGTTAGTAGCATCCATGGTGTTTTTGCAGTGCCAATAAAGTTATTTTTGATATCTCGATGAATTCAACTGACAGTTCCCAAATATTGTGCCATTCAACCATACTCAAAATTTCTCTGGTCATGTTCGTCTTTATCACCATGTACCTCGTTCTTTTCTAATTAAGATACATATTTTACCTCGGTTTCTGTTATCATATTTTTCAAACGGCTAGATAATGTGTTTTTGCAAAAAAAAAATAACTTTTTATATAGAAGTAGCTTTATAAAGTATAAATAAATCTATTTTTTAATTTATGATAACTACAACTCAATATATCATGCGTTAATAACTTTTTCGTTCTATGTACCTGACCCCATCTTTATCTTAATCTATCTCAACTACTAACCACCTATGTTTGATAAATGCTGCCGTAGCAGGCAGTCGGCGACGCGGCAGGAGTCGAAGCTGCATCCGCCGTCAGCCCGTGGAATAAGATCACTTTGACTCCCTCAACTGACCACCGAATCTAAATCGTATCCCTCAACCGCAATTTCAGAAATCTTAGCCCCTAAACTTATAAAACTGGTGCAATTTGACTCCCTTGGTGGTTTTAAAGGGTGGTTTCGCTGACGTGGCGCACACGCGGCAGTGTTGACCTGGTCTTTATTTCACGTGGCATTGATGTGGCGCTTATGTGGAATTAAAATAAAAATATATATGTGGGGACCATTTGTCATTTACACAAAAAAAATTATAGGACCCACTGACATGTGGGTCCTCTCTTATCCCTTCTTCCTTCTGCCATCTCCTCCCTTCTCTATCTCTCCCTCTTTCTCTTCGTGCGTGGGGAGCGGCGTCCGGATCGGCGACGGACGGAGCGGCGTCCCGAGCTCTGGATTGATCAGGAAATCCACATGTCAGTGGCGTGCTGCTGCATGGAGGCTGGGCAGGAGCTCTACACGCAGCTGGACGCCTGCCTCCGCGGCGGCACGAGCACGAACAACAACTCGAGGTCCGGCGGCTGGAAGTACCTGCCCTTGGGCGGCTCCCGCCGCTCCTTCCCCAGCTCCGGCAGCACCACCGGCCTCTTCCTCGGCGGCGCCGGGCATTGCGGCATGACCGGGATGCGGCACTCCTCCCTCCTCGGCGTCTCCCACCCCTGCAGCTCCTCCTCCATCACCGCCACCTCCTTCGCTGCCTCGTCTCCCGTCTCTCTCGACGACGCCTCGACTGACGAGAGGAGGAGACCTCTCCTTCCCATAAAAGGACGAGGACGAGGAAGAGGAGGAGGCTTGTGCTGTTTCGTCTTGCCGCTGCGCACCGATGCCTGAAGCTACTGCCGCTGCCGTTTCGACTCGCCGTGAACCCTCGCCAGAGTTGGTAGAGGAGGAGATGGCCAAGGACGGAGGAGATGGGAGGAGGAAGAAGGGATACGAGAGGATGACATGTGGGACCCACATGTCAGTGGGTCCCACAATTTTTTTTTGTGTGAATGACAAATGGGCCCCGCATATATATTTTTATTTTAATTCCACGTAAGCGCCACGTCAATGCCACATAGGACAAAGAACATTTCAACACTGCCACATATGCGCCACGTCAGCGAAACCTCACTTCAAAACCACTAAGGGAGTCAAATTGCACTGGTTTGGTAAGTTCAGGGGTCAAGATTTCTAGTATTGCGGTTGAAGGATACGATTTAGATTCGGTGGTCAGTTGAGGGAGTCAAAGTATCACTTTTTCCTCAGCCCGTCACCATGCTTTGCCTCAAGCAGCCTTGTCAAGTTTGATACTCCGGCCTGGTTTAGTTCCCAACTTTTTCTTTAAACTTTTAACTTTTTTATCACATGAAAACTTTCTTACACATAAACTTTCAACTTTTCCGTCACATCGTTCTAATTTCAATCAAACTTCTAATTTTAACGTGAACTAAACACACCCACTGAAAGAAATATAATTGGTCCATCTGACCCTTTCGTCTAAAAATATAATTGGGTCGGAATAAAGTTCACTTAAAATCTCTTAATTTGACATCGAGTCTGATATTTCATCCATGAACCAAAATACCAAATATAACTTATTCTGATTGGGCCTGGGCAGAACACCCGCAGATGGGGCCCGGCCCACCAGCTGGTCCATCTGACCTCCAGGAGCCCACCGCCAATCCTCCATGCATGGTCGTCGCTCTCGCGCATCGCTGCTGATTGCTCCTCGCCGGCGTAAATCCGCCGGCAGCCGGTAAGTTCCGTTCTTCTTGTTTTTTCTTTCCAGGAAATACAATGTGCTTTTCTTGTTTACAGCTGGTTCAGTATTGGTGTTCGACTGTTCATCATCTCCAACAGAAGGTTAAACTGAACTTTGACAGGGTTGCTTGAGGCCGACCCTCTGCAGCAGCAGCCAGCAGGAACCAGGCAAAGGGTTTCTTTTAAAATGCAGGAACATCACATGAATCTTACATCTGTTTTTTCATCTCCGATCGACAAGAATCAGGAGGAATTCCCTCCAATGTTTTCCAAGCAACTTCTGTTGTTGAAATGGCTGGTACATATACATTATCATGCTTTGGCTACAATTTCGCAGGTACGCACATTGCACCTGTGTCTTGCTTTGTCAGGATTTGGATAACGTGCGTTTGTGGGACAAACAGTTAACCGATCAAACTTGACAGTTATATGTATGAATGTGTGAACAACAACAAATCAAACCTATGATCATCTATCGAACATTTGCAGGTTTGGGGCTGCAAATTTAATGCAGCTCCTTCTCCAGTGTAAATTAAGAGCTCACTCCTGATCTTGGCTCTGAAATCGAGCAACTCTTCCTCTTCTTCTGTTGGCAAGAGCAGAAAAACAGCATAAGGAAATAGCCAGTTTAATTAAACACCATTACTGGTCAGCTAGTCTTTTCGGGAACTTTGCTCATGGAATTATCCTTTTTTTCCCTGAGTACTTGCTCATGAAATTATTTTATTTCTGAGTACTTTCTCATGCTAGCTTGACCATCTAGCTTGAGGGTAAAGTTCGATCAATTGTTTGAACTGTCGATACACAACGGCATATGCATATGATTGCAGAATTCAAAATTCAGTTGAGTTTAGCTAATTTCTGTTAACTGACCTCGCTTTGGGGGAGCACACTAGCCACCTTCATCATCAGTTTGTTCTGCATGAAACACAAACATTAAGATTCTCTCAAACTTGTGGGCTGTATTACGTTTAACAGTTGCAATGAAATATCTTTAAAATAACAGTTGCAACGAAATTAAAGCAGGCACATTCTACATGCTAGAATTGATGTGATGAAGACCAATAAAGTGGATAATGTATGACCTTAACAACTGTCAAAGCATTAGTCATCGCTTCCTCCAAACCTCTTAGCTCAGCGATGTTCAGCTCGTTGACATTTGATTCCAACACACTGATAATAACTTGGACAATCAGACAACTGCATAAAATATGTCATACTCGATGAAAACAAATGATTCCCTCACTTGCTCATCAGCTATATTTTCGTTACCATTGAGTAATGTGGTTTATCTTAGGCACCGGGTCATCTGAACGCTCTTTCTGACGAAGCTGTCAAATTAAAGAAGAAAGGACGATCAAGCAAAAGAAGGTGCATATGCTTATATTATCTCATAAAGTGCAAGTACTGACAAAATTCAGCTACATATATAAATGCATATATAATATTTTGTGGTTCCAATTATAATTAATAAAACATATTTAGTCCTGAAAAATTGGAATGTCGAAAACAATCATCTAGAACACAAACTGACAGCATACAATTGTTTTCAACATAATATGCCTTGAATATGTGAACGGATTGAGTGTACGTACAGTAGGGAAAAAAAAGAAGCACATAAAATCTACCTATTGGGGAAGCACTTTTAATGTGGTGGTGGATGTTGTAATATTGGAGTGACTCTCATCCTAGTAAGATGAGGAAAATAAGGAAAGCAAAATGATTTCTTCTAGTTTATTAGAACCTATGCAAAAATGGTTTTTGACCGAAAGGTCACATATTTAAGGAATAAAGGATTCCTAACTAATTCAGAATCTAGCGAAAACTATATATAGCATCGAAAGATCATATTTTAAGTTTTATAAAGCCAAACAAATCAACAAGTTCACTCTCATATCATCCAAATATTTCTCTATTTTGTTTTTTTAGCATGTTCGTTAACATGAAGCACATTTCCACTGAGGTCAACTAAATGCCTAAGCAAATCGATCCCATGGTTCCTAAAAGCCTTACACTTGACCAGCCCGCATGTCATAGCCAAGCCACCTTCGAGTTGGTACCACCTGATCTCCACAAAAGCACCTCCCCCAGGGGTGGCATGCCACAGCCATTCTCCAAACCTCACACAACCACCATCCTGAATGGCATCATAAAGTCCACATACAAAAGAGAACGCCCCATGAAAATGCATTAAGTGTGGCTTGGCAATGTCGAGCAAGGTGTGGTGCCAGCATTTGTTTGTCTTAGCAAAGTCAAGTCTGATGCCTTCATTTGAGTGCCTTGGTGACATCAAGCTAACTACTATATGGGCTGGTCAGTAGGTTGTCGCCATCCTATTCTCTACGCAATCCTCCTCACAATATGCTTGGGGTTAGGAGTAATATGGGGGGGGGGGGATATAAATACCCACGGTGGAAGGTCATACAAGCAAAGCCCAACCAAGTAAATTTCACAAAACTACAGACCTAGTGATGAAGTTATCGAATAACTACATATTTTAGAGTTTAGATCCATAGCACTATCATCTATTTAAAATTATAAAAGCTGTAGTTTCATGATAAAATTGATGTAAAATCTGTAGTTTTATGATACAATGCCTTAAATCTATAGTTTCGTGAAAAATTTGGCGCTAAATCTATAATTTTGTGATATACATTCTTATATATGTAGTTTTAGATAGTTTGGTCAAAGTATATGTAGTTTTCTTAAATTTACTCAAATGAGTAAAAGTAAGAAGGGCCTAGGAGAGGATTAGTGTGGATGAGCAAATTAGAACAAGATAGATCACATTGGATTCATCTCTACCATCATCATGTAAGCAATAGGTGGACAAATATTCTCATTGGTGGGACACCTATTAAGTTTGATGAGGACCATTGTTTTCGATGAGGCAATCGCATATCTATTGGAAGTTGAATCCTTGAAGATGCCATCAAAATGTTTATCCTAGGATGATTAAGCATTCGTTATTGTAGGTGTGGCAAGCAAAAGCAAGAATCAAAGGAATAATTATGAATGGCAAAAGCAATGACAAACAAACATGTTAGCTATGTGACAGGGAATGCCATGTGATAAAAGATTGTCCATATTTGAAGCAAATGAGGGGTCTATACGAAATAATGGTGGAAAATGATTCGAATGATGTACTTGTCATTAATGGACTTGAATTATGGTTGTTTCTTCCACATGTTTCATAATACAGAAGTTCAATGAAGGGTTTCACGGATTACAAGGACTATGCAATCATTGAAGTAGTAACAATTACATTGGAGATGTTTGTCAGAGTACATGTCACACCAACAAGGTTTAGGGAGTATATCCCACGATTAACACAAAGAATTTAGTACATACACGACCACTTCGGCTCTTAGGCTATAAGGTATCATTGCTAGAGCGAAGTTGCGCGAGTTACTTGCAAAGGGTGAGTAGACATATATATGTTGACATGAAATTTGTTGCGATACACGAAGGCATGGTTATTGAGGTGTCGATATAGCGTCGCCATGGCATCGCGAAGGCGTCATGGTGTTCGGCGACCTCCAAGGCGTCCTACTGCCACAACCTCGAGTCTATGGCGTCCGCCTTAGGGCTAGGGTATCGCTATGGCATTGCGATTGTGGCGTGAGGTGTCGGAGTCGCATGAGGCGCACACTACAAGGAAGAGCGCGGGAAGTTTTAGGCAAGCTAGCAAATCCTAGGCACACTGGGCACAAGTCTAGGCTGGGCGCGAAAAACAACCCGTGAGGCCCTAATAGTGGAAGAGAAATAGAGGGAAAAGGGAGAGAGGGTGCCCCTGGAAACCCTAGGGACGGCATCGCCAACCCAAATCCAAAGATCGACCCATCGAGGCGTTGCCTCTATGACCATCTCGTGCGCAACCCTCGTCATCGCCGGCTCCACCACAACACCATCTAATCATCACGGCGCCTCTCCATCTCAAGGTATGCTCCATCCCTTTTCCCCTTACTTCATCTATGCTCTCTCTCTCTCTGACTTCATCTGTGCTCCTTTTCACCCTCTGCACTATGCTGCTCTCTCACCTTTCTTCTCCTTATCCGCTACTCTGTCTCTCTCCTGCTCTGCTTCTTTGCAGTGCTCTGATTTCCTCCCTTATCTACACTCCTTTGCACAATCCCCTTCCTGGCTTTCTTAATTTGCAAAGATAGGAAGAGTGTATGGCGTTGCCACGCCATACGGCTTAGCGCTATAGCTGTAAGACGGTGGCGGGTCTCCATACCTCACCATACCGCCTTAAGCCCTTAATAACATTGCACAAAGGCATGGGAGATCTGCTTAGCTCCAATGCAGGTTCGATTAATCAGGTTCTAGGCGTGCCAGTTAGTTTGATACTGCCTATAGGTCAATGTAGTGTAGCGAGGCCAACCGATATCGATAGGTTTCGATCAATCGGCTATGGGTTCGATGTAGATTCAAATGATAAGATAAACAGTGAGATTTTTGCTGTCATCGGCTAGAACTAAACTATGCGTAATTCATTAATAAACCATTGTTTATCAAAGACAATCTTGATAGATCGGACCGAACTAAGACAATATGAGATTGAAGTTGATAAAGGAAGATTTAGCTAGTGAATATACGAGTTTCAATATGAGCCGATACAACACTTAAAAAAGTAACAAGATAACTCATTGGCTAGACTCCGATGAAACGTTGCATGAAAACCTATTGGCTTAGTAGAATAAAACTTATTAGCGACAATCTAATAGATCGAACCTAACCGACACAATATAGGATTGAAGATAATAAGAAAAACCTATTTATCCAATAGATATACACAAACGTGATAGATACATCGATCTATCTAAAACAACAATGTGCTGGTGTTTGAATCTCCTGCAGATGAAGATGAAGATAGAGATTAAGTGTTTCACGCAAAACAAGGTGGTAATAATGTGTGATTTATTTAGTTTTAATTATTACAAACTTGAAAAATGGATTAATCTAATATTTTAGAGCAACTTTCATATAGAAAGTTTTCGCACGAAACACATCGTTTAGCAGTTTGAAAAACGTGCCACGAGTATCCAAAATTCCATCCACTTTTGTTGGAGAAACGAACGCAGCTGATACGACTCTAAACGGTGATGCAATTAAAGATAGAATCAATATATCAGATAGGAAACGCTTGTGTCAACTTGAATAGAATATCGGACTTAACCGAGAAAGTTCTAGCTATGCCGATACAAGCGAAGTTGACAGAACATACTTCCTCGCTGGAAATCAAAACTGATGCAGCCCAACTCGAAACTAAGAACTCACCGAAATAAAAGGTGGCGATGCGTCAACAGTAATTGTATTGATATGTGGAGATAGTTTACAAAGGCCTCAGGTATAAATATTTATACCTTCGGGTTGATACAAGTCCTGATCGGACACGACACAGGTTTCTTAAAGATATGACACATGTTTCCTAAAGATAAAAGGAACCCTACTAAATCATGCCTAATTAATAGATAGAATTAATTTTCCATGTCGTGGTCTTCATAATTCCTCTGTGAATTCAGCTTGATCTAGCTTGAATTCTAGTAGAGACAGAGGCAAAACTATCAACAATTGGATGAGGAAGATATGGGACAAGCATGCATGAGGCACTCGCAACCTAGTGGCGCTAGAAGGTGGTGTGAACCTATGTAAGGATCTATGGTTAACAAACTTACTAAAAACTCTTAGGTGGAGAACCTATGAAACCAAAACAAGACTTTGACATGCTCATCGTGATGATGTGCGTGAGACGTGGTTGGGGTACTTTCTAGGTGGAAGAAAAAAAGGTGTTGCTAATTTGGAGAAAGATGACTTCAACAAATAATATTCTGATTGTTATACCATTAGCACTAGGGAAAAAACTAAAAGGATTCCTAACTATATTCTTAGAACCTATTACTATTCCTACTCTTTTTTGGGTTAATACTAGCAAGGGGGTATAAATGCTCAAGGAGTGAGGCCATACAAGAGGTGTTTGTTCAAACGATCAGAGGCTCATAATCCTTTAGCATTAGATTCTTCTATAAGTCAAGAGTCCAAGGGTCTGAAATGAGAGGGTTATCTGATAATTTTTGCACAAAAGTGACATTAAGGGAATTTGTGGTCGGGTTCTCTATATATTTCTCTATTGTGGGTTATTTCTTCATCGCTATTGTGTTTTGAGTCATGGTTCGTCTATTTTGATCATAAGCTTGTTAGATTGTGGAGTAGCTCATGATCCAACTATTTTCTAGGGTTCATGGAATTACCCCTAGCCTCTGCTTGATGAGTTTGTGGTGCGGAGGCACACTCTTGTAGGTGGTGTGTGTGTGCATATGCATCATCCATGAAACCTAAAAAAAAACTAGTTATTGGCATGCATGGCATGTGTCAGAGTCAAGATATTTGAGGTGTTCACTTAGTGGATGAAGGATATTTGGATATTTGAGGTGTCGAGTGGGGATGGTGGAGATATAAAAACACCTAGTAATTATTAATTACTTCGGTGAGGCTTTGTTGTGTAATTTTGCAAGTATATTTACTTGGGTGTTGTGGAAAACATTGGGAGAACCAAACCACATGTACATGTACATAACATGTAGTATAAGTTAGACCCTTAACCTCCATTGTGTTGTTGTTTGATCTAACTTGAGTATGCATATGAAAAATGTCTTCAGTATATGACATTACCATGAAATATTTTATGATGAGGGAGGATCACCTAACTTATTAAATTCCACATGTGTGGTATGTAACTTCGTGTGTGCTCTTTTATGCATTAATTAGCCTTTTAAGCAGTTGAGCTTCCTATGGAATATAAGAAATTTAAAGATTTTTCGAGGGAACTAAAACTAATTACTATGAAAATTATGTAAAATTCATGCATTCAAAATGAGATTGTAATGTCACTTTTGTGCAAATGCCTCTAGTAAATGCCTAACTTGACCTTATAATTGACCGCTACAACATAAAGTCTTATCCTGGTAAATAATACATGCTTATATGTGGTGTTTAATGCGAAAAAAAAGACATTCAGGAAAACTTTCATATTTTACTCTGTCTATGCTTTTGAGATTTTAATAATTGGATGTTTTTTTAGATAATGGATATAAATCTGGCCTCTACATCTACATGTGGATATACACAACCAAATATTACAAATATGAATACTTAGATCCAAGTTTTATGACCGAGAAACACCAAAATACAAAAGGAAAGACTAGAAGACTAAGCTTCAATTCTTCTTCCATGTTGCTTCAAGCTTGTTACTCCCTTTGTTTCATATTATAAGATGCTTTGATTTTTTTTCTAAGTCAATTTTTTTTAAGTTTGACATAGTTTATATAAAAATGAAGCAACATTTACAACACCAAATTAGTTTCACTAAATATAACATTGAATATATATTGATAGTATGTTTATTCTGTGTTGGAAATGTTGCTATCTTTTTCTATAAACTTGGTCAAACTTTAAGAAGTTTAGTTTGACTTACCAAAAAGTCCAATCGTCTTATGATAAGAAAGGGAGGGAGTACTTTCTTATCTAGTAACGATCCGGTACACCACTCGTTTACTTAGAAACTTTGATGATCGTCGTGCCAGAGATTGATCCTTTGTTGCCTAACGAGCCTTGTCGCATAAAATACCACACTAAGGCAATCATGAGATGCAGCCCAAACTCTTGCAACCCATCATTGACGTCCATCATGCCACCTTCCATGCCACCAGCTAGATACATTTGAGATCCAGATCTAGCAGTTCCTAGACCTTAGTGCACCTTCACTCATTGACGTTGTCTAGTGGAGGCAAAGAAGAAGCCCTGCCACCACCGTTTGCCACTACGCGTCTAGATCCAAGCATAGACACCTCAAATCCAGCAGTTACAACGCTTAGCGCATACGTCGGTTGCAGGCAACGCCTCCACACACGTTAAAGCCTCATATAGCCAATCCTCCACACAGAGCAAGCTGGCCAACATCCATGTGGGGTGCCGCCTCCTGCCACTTGCCCTTGCATGTAGTGAATATCTTATCAGATAGCTTCCACATGTGTCATCGCTCTGGCCATCGGTTAGCCCATGCACCTTTTGCCACCTTGATCCTAGGTGGAGTGTCGTCATAAATACAAAGGGCTAGGCGAGGAGCCACACCAACACCCCTAAATGGAGGAGCTGCATCTCCAACCAACAAAGGAGCTAGCCCTCCGTGGACGATTTGTCTCCGTATCCAGACCTAGAAAAAGAAAGGTGGGAAGGGAAAAAAAAGAGGGAGAGAAGGAGAATTATAGGAGAAAGGTGAAGAGATGGGCAGGTGTCACTGCTAGTACGGCCAACGCCAAGGCGAGTAGTAGGTGTGTGGCTAAGGCTAGAGATTTGGTGTTTCGCCTCCCGTGTCACTCCAGCGAGCGACAAGGGAGTCCAATAGGCTAATTGGATGATACCATTGATTCTCAGTTAGCACAGGGAACAAAGATTCTAGAGCCATGGACTTAAGTAGCAGATTTAATTATTATCATGACCATAGGTTTGTGGGAAAACTTTCATATTTTACTCCTTAGTTTAAAGACTTTAATGGATAATACACCATCGATGTTCAGTTGGCGCAGTTGGCAAAAAGGGAAACATGATTCTAGAGCTGTGAACTTGAATGTTAGGCTTAGTTATTATCATGATCATAAGTTAAAGAACTGCTATATTACTAAAATACTTATCAGGTAGACCTGTATATTGCAATCAACCCGAGATTCCCTTGCTTCAATATTGAGATCAATTGTTGTGTCCAGAAGGTCCCAATACCGACCAAAAATTGTATCAATGCTGCATGAAGAAAATTCGAAATCAGTAAATTAAACTCAAAAGCAGTAACTTGTACAGGCATACAAATGAAAAAAAAAAGGTTCTTGGTTACTGCATTGTAAATATATTTTTAAAAAATGTTATTTTTCAATGCAGCAATCAAAAGGTTTTGTTTCTCCCGAGACATCAGTTAGTTAGCCTATACTAACCAAATAAATTTTTGGATGCTCAGTGCCAAAAAGGCTACATATATGTGACGCTATTTTTGGGTACAACATGGGTAAAAACAAGAGGTAGATTAAGAAGGCCTTATTTTGCAGATTAAAATGTATGGGTATATTTTATGCATACAATTAAACTAAAACCAACGAAATTGGCACACTGAACCCATAAGTAAACTATAGGGCGAAAAAACATATGTATATGCATGTACCATATTGGTAGATTATCACAGCTAGCGCAGTTGCAATTAACCTGAGCAATCATCTCTATGAATGAAGCTGAAGAACTAGCTAAGCTAGGAGTTATGAGAGAACACTTGCAGGTATTTCTCTGATAAATCCCCAAACTAATGGTGAAGAAATGTGACATAAAATTAGTAGTCTCAGCATTCAGTCTTAGCACACGAAGAAAGCAAGCTACTTCTATAAATTAAGCTGAGCAGCAGAAGTACAGGAACACTGCACAGCGATCTATTACAGCTAGTTCCAAATCAAATCCATACGTACGCAACATATTTGTAGTACTAATTAATTAACATCAGGCCACCAGAAAATTAATAACGAGAGTTATTATTATTATTATAGCCAGCTAGAGCTCAGAGTGATGCACAGCAAACTCAGCTCTAGAATCCGCGAGATACATTGTACTATGTACCTGGATATATACAGATTTGAGGAGATAGAGAAAAAATACAAATGGAATTGAACTGTAGGAGCGCAGTGGAGTGGAGTACATGTACTACCTGGAGGTGGAAGAGGCGAACTCGTAGAGGCGGCCGGCGGGGGAGAAGACGAGGAGGGCGACCTGGGCGTCGCAGAGCACGGACAGCTCGTACGCCTTCTTGAACAGCCCGCTCCGCCGCTTCGAGAATCGCACCTGCCGGCTCGTCCGGTCCTCTATCCGCCGCAGCTCCACCTTCCCCCTCTTCCTCCTCCTCCCTCCTCCCTCCATTCCCCAACTCCTCCACCGATCGACCACGAACCCTAGCTAAGCTAAGCTAAGCTAGTTTGTGGTGGTGAATGGATTTAAAAAGGGGAAGAAGAAAGAACAAGAACAACAAGAAGAAGAGCTAGTACTGTACTACTAGCTAAAATAATAATGTGGTGGTGAGGGAATCCATTCTCAAAGAAAAGGAAAGTTGTGGAGGGGAGGAGAAGAAGGGGCACCATCTCCATCTCTCCATCTCCTCGCCGTGCGAGCTGCTGCTGCTGCTGCTGCTGTGCAGCTGCACGGCCGTGGAGTGGAGTGGGGACAGGAGGGGGAAGTGTGGCCGGCGAGCGAGGACGACGACTCGTCTCGTCACTATTTAGTATCCACTAGGAGCACTCGGATTGTACATGGAGTAAAGAGCTTAAATTTTGGTGTTTTTTTTATTTTCGGCGAGAGATTTGAGACCACGTGTCGTGGAAGGGATTGGATGGGAAGGGAGGAAGTGTCTAGTAGGCCGCTGACGTGTGCCCCGGTTTTACTGCTACTGGGAGTACTAGTACTGTTTCAGATGGAATTATGGCATCGTGGCTGTCGCCTGTCGGAGCCATGGTTCCCGCCCCCATCTCTTCGCTCAAGGGCCTGTTTATAGCCAACTACTAGCTGTAAATAACATATAATCAACTTAATAGTCAATTCATACAATAGTTATATATTATACTATTAATACCTGGTCCACCTATTATACACATATCGCGTCTTGGAGTCAATGCTACAGCTGGCTATAAATCTATAGCCCGCTGCTCTTCTCTCTCCTATTTTATCTCCTTAAAATATTTATAGCTGACTTATAGCTTGCTATTGTACCTGCTCTTAGGCCTGGTTAGATCTCACCTCAAAATTTTACACCCTATTAAATCAAACGTTTGATCACTTGTACAATATTAAATATAGGCTAAAAAATAACCAATTGCACAGATTTGCGATTAATTTGTGAGACGAATCTTTTGAGCCTAATTGCTCCATGATTTGATAATGTAGTGCTACAGTAAACATTTGCTAATGACGAATTTATTAGGCTTAATAAATTCATCTTGCGGTTTTATGACGGATTTTGTAATTATTTTTTATTAGTCTATATTTAATACTTCAAATGTGTGTCCGTGTATGCGATGTGACACGCCAAAAATTTTCGTTTGCTAGCTAAAAAGGCCCTAAAATAAATCATCTACATTGAAACATTGTCCCAAAATAAAATAACTCCTACTCTTAACCCCAAAAAACTTTATTCTGTTACCCACTAATACTAATTTGCTATTAATAAGATGTATTATGATCTTTTATACCTTCATTTAATTTTGCTATTAATAGGAGTTGCTTCTTTGCGGGACGGAAGAAGTTGTTTTTTTCTCACAAATCAAAATTTGAATTTTAAAATGGGACTATCTATTGATCTTTTAAATAATTTTCAATCAATTGATACACCCCATTTTAAATAAAAATAAAAAGCATATCAAAAGTCATAAATCTAAAAACAGTTGTAAAAAAATCTAATGTTAATGCACTATGATTGAGTATATAAGTGTTATCTAATTAAATGTAAGTGCTATGTAAACGAGTATATGAGTGCTTTGTAACTGAGTACTCCTTCTGTCAAAAAAAAATTAACCTATTATTGGATGAGGTATTTTCTGCGATAACGAAACTGGACAAACTCCTGTTTAAATTCGTTGTACTATGAAGTACCCCATCCAATACTAAATTGGTTTTCTTAGACGAAGGGAGTATAATTTTAAGTTGGGTTAAAAAAAACATGAATCTTGATGCATGATATTATGGACGACAAACTGAAAGATAAAATAAAAAAAATCTATCGCCGTAAAATAGCAAAATCGTTTTTATAGTTTTTTTATCATAGTTTTTTTAAAAAAATTAAACCAAAAGACATGTATATAAAAATTTTATCGATAATTTATTTTCGGATGTGCTATAATTATGATGCCATAGATTTTCTCTAATTACGGTCAGTTTTTTAGCCCTCAGATTTCCTTTTAGATTTGTGGAAGACCGTTTTGCCATCATGCGTGCATGCACTAGTTTGTAGTACTTATGCTTGCACGCGTGCACCTTTGCTGCTTGCTGTGATTTATACATTAGTTCCCATTGAATTCATAATGATATCTCTATTTACATTATAAATACACTAAAATTATATTATGTAATGTAACATAATGTAATTTTAGTGACTCAGTACATTGTAAATATACTGTACTCAAATTACACATGTAATTTAGGTACTTACAACATACATGGTAATTATTTTTTTAATAAAAAATATGGCGACATGAATGAATATAGATAGTCCCTTTATTTTTCGTTCGTTAATAAGCCATTAAGCCGTACGCGGATAACTGTAAATATAAGCGTAACGATGAACTCGTCCAAGTCATTTTTATCATTTCGGAAATAACACTATTTTTATTCTTTTGAGATATTCTTTTTGTTTTTTGGTAGCGAAGCATGGCGGCTGTACATCGTCTGTGTGTACTGAACGTGGTGTCTCGAGTTACAAAGAAACGCTCCTCAAAATTTGTTTGAGTAATAATTACTTCCACAATTATGGTCACTAAAATTAAAGGACGGACCATACAGACGTGGATGCCTCTAAATTAATACAGGTATAATCACTGAAAATACGGACGTGGATGTCTCTAAATACGTGTATAATCATTGAAAACACACGGTGAGACGTGGACATTTTTCTAACTCGGTAAATATTTTTTAAATCTACAACTAGAAAACTATCACCAAAAACTATCTTTAGCGTAGGGTTCCAACTCCTCAATCTACCTTTACGAGAGAGTTTGGAGTGAAGTTATAGAGTGTTCTAAATCCTGCTTCACCTCCCTGGTTTATTTCTTCAGATCATTTCAGTCTATTTCACTTTCTTTTAGATAGTACATTATTAATTACGTAAAGCTAAAAAAGCAATTTTTTAGTACAAGCTTATTAAAAGTATATTAAAAGTATATTGTTTAATAGTTTGTAAAATATGCACGTCGAAAACGAAAGATAGGAGATCGGAACTTGCCCAAATAATTAAAACGGTTTTTACATGGGGTGAGTTAGTTAATTAATTAATTACTGCATGCGCGCCTTTTTGCTGGTGCTGTTAGAAAAAAATAAATAATAAAACGATAAGTCCTGCAGCTGCACCATGCACGTAAGGCCACACGATTGGTTGAGTCGGACAGGCTCACACAGGCACGGTCCTGGTCTGGATTCAAAGCAGAGAGAGAACAGGGTACGTTGTTGCATCGTGGTTTTAAGCTGGTAGTACACCGTAGTACTCCTACTCAGGGCGCCATGGTGTTTTTGCTGGTCCTCATCAGTCAGCACTTAACTCTAGTAGACTCTACTACTGCTCGGTTGGATAAAGCTTTGGACTAGCGACTCGCATTCAGTACACAACGTGTTCTCAAAAAAAAAAAAAAGTACACGACGTACTTGGTTCTACTATGGAAAAAAAAATACGAATTACCTCCCTAAACTTTCGCGGTCGACCGAGTTACCCCTGAACCCAAAAAACAGACATCATTTACCCTAAACTTTTAATACCGGACGAATTACCCCCCACGACCCAATCCTATCCTACGTAGCGTATGCGTGGCAATCCAGTCAATATTTTCTTTCTAAAAAAAAATATGAGACCCACCTGTCATACCTCTCCTTCCCCCTCCCTCTCTCTCTCACGGGTAGTGCAAGGGCAAGAGGTGGGCGGCGGCGCGAGCGACGGCAGCGGCCACGGCCGCGGCTAGGTCGCAAGCGGCTGGGGCGAGCGCCGGCGGGCGCGACGGGGCAACGGCATGGTGATGGAGATGGTGGTGGAAGGGGAGATCGACGCATGGCAGTGGGCGAGGCGGGCAGATGGTCGGTGTGGACGGGCGGTGTGCGGGGGCGCTGGGACAGGGCGGTGCGCGGCGACGGGCGGTGGGTGGCGGACAGGCGGTCGGTGCATGGGGGCAGGAGCGGAATGCGGGGAGGGCGCGGCGGGCGGCGCTGTGGAGGGCGTTGAAGGCAGCGGGCTACGACGATGAGTCTGCTGCCCTCTCGAGCTCCACTTCTATGGCGACGAGCCCTCTGCTCAGGTGGGGCAGCGGGCGTCATCGAGGTTGTCCTTCCAGGTGGTGGCCACGGCGCAGCTGGTGCTCCCTTCCCTGGAGACGATGGTGAGATAGCCCTCTTCTCCGTTCTGACGAGGAGTCAAGGGGATCCATAGCCTCCCTCTTTCTCTCTCTCTCTCTCTCTTTCCTTCTTAGCTCAGGCGGGGAGGACTTGGCGGGTGGCACCGAGGAGGGCATTGGAAGCGATGGGCTATAGCGACGAGTTCGCTGCCTATCCCCGTCATCCCCGTCGACTGTCGTCGCCCCACCCGGTTGCTCCTCCGCCGCCTCCGCTTCACCGCTCTATCACTGTCGCCTCCATTCCAATCCCCTCACCTTCCCGTCGCCCTCGCCGGCGGCTCTACCCCTCTGGCTCCGCCATGCGGCGGAGGAGTATGGCCCTATCGCGTCGTGTCCTCCCCAATCTCGCCGCGCGCCAGAGAGAAGAAAGAGGAGAGATTTTAGTTTACCCCGTTTGACATGCGGGGCCACGATATTTTTTATTTTTTTTTGATTGGATTTCCACGTTAACGCCACATGTACGACACGTAGGATCGAAACCGTTTTGGTTTGGAGCAGGGGGTAATTTGTCCGATTTTATAAGTTTATGGTGTGAAATGTCTGGTTTTTTAGTTTGGGGGATAATTCGGTTGACCGTGATAGTTCGGGTGGGGGGATTCATACTTTTTCCTTTTACTATACCTCCTCATGAGTTTTTTCACCTTGTCCCTTTTCTATATTTTACTTTTCTTTTAAATAAGTTAATTATATTTCTAGTCTTCATGTTTGTAAGACTTAAAAAAATAAATGTTTGATCGGAACACAAAAATCATATTTCTCATCGTTGGGTGTTTGTATATACTTCTTATTTTTTTTTACATGCAACATGAGTTAATTTCTTAGTCTTTGTGACAAAAGTAATACGTCCAACTCAATAGGATGAAGAAAATATTATAATAGATTATCAATACAATTATAGAATAAATCAAGCATGTTAATAAACAGAGTTAACTTAAATATATATTTTGGATAACACTTATTTTTAGACGTGAAACAAATACTCTACGGTAGAATAATGCATGCGTTTTGTATGCTTCCACGCTTTTTGAAGTTTGAGTGTGCTAACAAGACCCACTGTCAGCGATGCGCACGAACATATCTTTAATCTAGAGAGAGAGGAAAAGATAGACAAAATAAGAATATCGAGATACTGATACAATTGGAGAGAAATTGAACAAGGGATAATAGGGCCAGTTCATATTACTGGTATATTAAGTAATACCATTATTTGATAAAATTGATGAATTTATTTGTTATTACCAAACATTGGTAATATCTTTTGACAACAATACATTTACATATAAAACGCTATAATATTATTATAACTATTAAAATTTCAAAATGTTCATTTTGGTAGTCCCATCATATATGCCGTTCACGGCGCCGGAAGTGGAAGTGATCCCGTCTTGGAGCACGACGGGCCGGCCCACGCATATCCAAAGCCCAATTTGCAACGAGCATACATGGATTCCATGGGCCCCCGTATTATTTTCTACTTCAGCTGATGTAGCCGGGCGGCCTCGCGGCGGCGCCGGCCGGGCGGCTGGCGGCTGGGCGGCCGGCGAGGCGAGGGATTTGTGTTTTTTTTTTTTGAGAATTTGTGATCCGGATCTGAGATGTATTTGATTTGTGTGTGATGTGAATATGTGATAAATTTTGTAGAAGTTGCGATGTATTTGAGATGATCGATTTGAGGATTTGGAGGTGATAATTGATTTGGGATTTTGGTGACGGGGATAGAATGAAATCAATATATTAAAAACAATGAAGAAAAGAAAAGAATAAAGGAGCAACTGGTATCTAGCCTGGCTCTATCTTTAGTTCCAACCGGGACTAAAAAGGCTCTATCTTTATTCCCTACATCCTATAATATAAGGGTTTTTGAGTGATGTGACACAACAATGAATCTGGACAGACGGTCTATATGTCCAAATTTGTTGTATTAGTATGTATTGCATCCACCCAAAATCCCTTATATTATAGGACGAATGGAGTATTTGTTTGTTTCGGCATACTCCTAATAATTTAGATTATAGTAATCCTAAGCTAAATTAAACAGGGAGTTACTCATGATGTTTTTTTTTGTCTTTTGATGCAAGGCCATGGAGAAAACGACGATAACTATGGCCTACATTTATCCACAAGTTTATTCATGGGCCGCCCCACGCACAGATACGGCCCAATTCGCTGGATACATGGATTCCACGGGCCGGAACTGGTCATGGGCTGCGCACTCTTGGTTGTGTCCTTTTCCCTATTTATTTCAGCAGATGCAGTACTGTTTCTACTAGTAGTACTCTACTATGTGATAGCATCTCAGATACTCTCAAGATTTTTTTTTTTAAAAAAAACTTAATACGAAACGTGAAAAACATAGCTACTCCCTCCGTCCTATAAAAAACAAATCTAGAACCATATGTGACATATTTTAGTACTATAAATCTATACATATGTATGTCCAGATTAATAGGATCAAGATGTGTCATCCGGTACTAGGTTGTTTTTTTATGCGATAAAGGGAGTACGCTGGAAGGATGGTAATGATGCGATAGAAATTTTTTAAAAAAACTTTAATACGAAACAAGAAAAACATAGCTAGGCTGGAAGGATGCGACAGTGAATCTGTCATGCCACCTACCCCGTTAAAATTTTTACAAAATATCCCTTAATTTTTTAATATTAAAAAATAAATGTAAATGTATATCCACATATAAAATCAAATAAGGTGAATATTCCCTATAAAAAAGTAGCATATTCCAGAAAAATATATTTGTGTTTATCAAGTTAGTAATATTTTTTTTATCTGTAGCAAAGTTAAGGCATTTAGCAAGTACAAGTGAACTAAACAGAATGGAATGAAAATGATAATAATACGCTTAAAGTTGATCGCAGAATATGTTCAACAGACACCGATAGTTTTTAAGGTAGTATCTCACACAAGTTACACACAAACAGGCTACATACGAAACTAGTTCAAATCCATCACTCCAATTAAGTAGCTAGCCATGATACATGCATGTATGCGGCACCACATATATGCCACATATCCTTGTTATTTCGTAATTCATTGTCCCCGTCATCATCATGGTAGCCATGGGGGCATGTAGGTGTTCATGCACGCACTGTTCATCGCCTCATGATGCTCTGCAGGGTACCTGCAAAACAGGTATCACATTCAGACTTTCAGAGGCATATATAAGCAAAAAAATATAGCCATTATTTAAAGATCTATACAATATTAAGTGTGCATATACAAAAACTAGCCTAGCTAGCTATATTGTCCTGGATCAGATTATATATATAGACCGGCAATTGGTTCCAAGTATATATAGGAAGAGATCATATGAGCATACCCAATCTGAAGGGTGGGTTCACCAGCAGCATCAAGTGGATGGAAGAACCCATTGCCGCCGTGAAGAGGCTGCTGCACTTCAGGCTGACGTTCATAGCCAATTAAGTTGCAGCCCTGCTCCCACACTTGCTGCCCGCGAACATGGTTGCTTTCCTCCAGCTACAGTTTTTCAAAACAATTTAAATGATATCACATTGCAGTTATTTTCAATATCCCTTTCACTACATTAATCAGGGCTTCCATTCCATGATATCTGCATTATATTGATCATGGACTATATACTCCATAATTCATATATATAGGAAACACACCATAGTTCAGTTGAGGTTTATCTTAAGATTCTTGGTCATGAATGATTAGTTGAATAAACCTTTCTTTAGATGGAAGAGTTGTATAACTTGCTTTTCTCCTAAGGAGAAAGATGGAAGAGTTGTATAACTTACTTTTCTCCTAAGGCATCTATTTGCTTCAGAAACCATTTGTTCCTGTAAATTAAGTAAACAGGGTCAATATCTACTACTGCTAAGGAAGAAAAATGTGATCAACACTTTTTATTGATAATTCTTAAAAATATACCTTTCTCTGAAGCTCCGTCAGTTGGTCAACCAGATGTTTTGTCTACAAGAGGATTAAAAGCATTGACAAGTAAGATTTACAATTCAGATCTTTCATGCATGGGTTCCTATAAATTTTACGCAGGAAATTAATAATTGCGTGAGGTAGCTATCCACACGATCAACAATAGGGCTGCATTTAAGTCAATTGCATCTGCATGCAACATATATGGTGTGTATGTACTCCTTTGTGTTACTTCAAAAACTAGTGCTACACACCTACACCCTTCGTCCAATACAAAACACAATTCTAACTAGAAACTTAGATACACGTGTACACACTGTCATAACTAGGATTGGAATTTTTTTTTTCACAGAGGGAGTACATGCATGCATGCATGGTACTTGTTTGTGATCTAGCACCCAAAAACAATCATTACCCTTGTAGTTCTGACGTGCTTCAGGGATGAATCAAGCTGCTTCTCTAGGCTCTCGAGCTCTTTTATGCCTAATGAATCAAGATCTTCACCCAGCAAATTTCTGTCATAGTCCACACATAGGGGTAGAAGAGTATTAGTTATGTACATATGAAAATTAGACTTCCACTTTCAATTACTATATTGAAGTACAAAAATGAAGTTAATTAACTACTAATGTTTCCAAATAAAATTTAACTTACAGCGTGTGTTTCAAAATGATGTATTATTACATGTGTAACAGCTAAGCTAATACTCAATACTATGTACTTCTTCATTATGCAGTTGCATGTTGGAACTACGACCTGCGAGTAGTACTACTATGACATGCATGTATGTGATTTTTTTTTACCAATGACATGTATATACATCATGTTATATATAGATCTTATCAGCTGGTCGACAGCTGCCTGTCTAATTTTGAGTAGTACAGTTGATTTCTTGATCTATTGGTTAATTAATTAATGGTGAGAATGCTATAAGAACCTGGATTGTATATATGTGTGTCCTCAACTAGATTTTGATAAAACAAAATAGATTTGAGATGCTTTATACTAGTTGTATGATTGATTTATTCTATGAGCTTGTGACTTTCTCCCTCTGTCCCAAAAAAACGAATCTAGGATCAGATGTGACACATTCTAGTATAATGAATCTGAACAAAGGTATTGATGTGTTTAGTTCCAAAGTTTTTTTTTCCAAACTTCCAACTTTCCATCACATCAAACCTTTCATACATACACAACTTTTCAGTCACATCGTCTCTAATTTTAACCAAATTCCAAACTTTGGACCGAACTAAACACAGCCTATGTTTAGATTTGTAGTACTAAGATATGTCACATCCAGTACTAGGTTGGTTTTTTTATGAGACGGAGGGAGTATATGGTACACTGTTTGTGCTTTGTTTTTATTATTCTACCTATTGATAGCCCGCCTATAATAGCTAGTAGTTGTGCTACTATACCTTAAAATTAGGATGCCCACCTAAGGTTCTCTAGGCTGATAACATCCAAGCAATTAGCTGGAATCAACATTTAATTACTGTTAACATGATATTTTTTTTGTTTATAACGACAGCACTATAAAAAGAAATACTATGAGTTTATTCACATCATTCTTGCAGCGCTATGACATCGAAAATCATATTTTTGTGGTACAAAACCGCTCTTGCATAAAATCGTCTAAATGCAAACCTAAAAGCATCATCAAGAGAGAAGCTTATCAGTGAAAATGCATCATAACTTGCCTTTGAGTCCGTTGTAAATTTTCAACCCTTGCCTTCAGTTTGAGGTATTCATTGCGGCTAGCTTTCAATTGCTGAAAGAAACAAAATAGTTGACCATTAATTCGATGTTTTGAAAATGCATGTGTAGGACATATGTATATAACATATTGCAATTGCAAACCATCTCCTTCATATGCACATGCTATTATGGTAGTAGAAAAGTAATGTTACATGTGAGAAAACACTTATGTGGTCAAACCAAAATTAGTTTGCTGCATAATAATGGGTGTAATTAATGAACACAATTAATAATTACCTCACTTTCTCTATTTTGGACAGCTGTTTCGGGTCCTGCGTAACTGCATTTCTGATACTTCTCAAGCGTTTTAGTCATGCTACAAAGTTCAAAAGACATGAGGAATTAATTAAAATTAGTGCATGCATGGGATCACAAGAAGGAGAGATTAACGATGATTAAGATCTACAATAGGGGCATGGCACATTTACTACCACAATGCCCTTTTTTCGTTGTCATGCATTCTAGCTTAAAATACATTCAGAAATGGAACATATGGTTCTTGCAAGTCCCCCTATGAGATTATATTGTTTGATTAGTAGACTGAAGCCGTTGATCTCTGTATATATACTACTGATATATAACACAGTAGACAAGATTCTTCTTTTTTTTTTTTGAAAAAAAAAGTCTCTAGTTAGTTTTTATGTCTCTTTACTTTGGTTATCAACAAACCATCATTTATTTTGCAATATTATGCATGGAAGTATATATTGGACTACTTCTTTTAAGGATTTAGCTAAGGGAAACAAAGAACCTTGCAGATCCAGAAGAAAAGGTCGTAAATAAGCAAACTTTTCAGTTCCTTTGCGAGTTCCGAGACCACACATGAAGAAATCGCACGTAAGACGGACAGATCGGAGAAGGAAACCAACTGGCAAACTAAAGATGTGCACCGATCTACCACACGGACCAGGAAGCAAAACCCTAAACCCAGGATATTGCCCAGATCTATCCCGGCGTGAAAACCCACGGAAGCAAGAGCAATCTAGCTAGCTAGGTAGCGTGCGGTTGAACACGCCACAGCTCGTTTCTTGTCAAAAGATCGTATGCAGAAATCAAGCCGGCATAGCATGCAGCTGGAATTCCGGGCAAAAGGCAGATGCAGCTAGCTTTTGATGATGCATGAACAGATCTGGACAGGACAGATCCAATCGAAAGGGTGGCTAATTAAGCTTGCGAAATTGAAGTGTGATGTGATGTGGGTTTGATGGATGGATTAGAGTAGCTAGGAAATGAAATGAACCTCTGGGTGCTGCAGAACTCGTAGAGCTTGCCGCGGTTGGAGAAGATGATGAGGGCGACCTCGGCGTCGCAGAGGACGGAGAGCTCGTACGCCTTCTTGAGCAGGCCATTCCTGCGCTTGGCGAACGTCACCTGCCGGTTGATCTTGTTCTCGATCCTCTTCAGCTCCACCCGACCCCTCCCCATCCCGATCGATCTCCAGCTGCAACCAACCAACCAAGCTAGATCTCACCACCACCACCACCACCACTGCAAGAAAGCAAGCGAGGTGGAGGAAGGGGATTAAAAGGATGGAGATGGTGAGTGGGTGCCATTTTCGGCAAGGTCGTACCGGGTGGGAAACCCTAGATGCTCGGCAGCGTAGCGCGTTTCGGGAAACCAGGATGGGTCGCGTCGCGTCCATCGCTCGCCGCCCATGCCCATCCATCCGTCCATCCGTCTTCTTTACCACGACTCGCCTTTTCATTGGTGGATGGATGGATGGCCATCACCATTCACCACCACATGTGACCTGCCTGCCCCTGCCCTGTGCGCCATCGTCATCGTCGTCGTCGTCGTCGTGGAGCTCGAGACTTGGAGAGTGCGTGTGTTTGAGTCGGGCCGTGTCCGATTCCCTACTCGGGAACCCACCGGTTTTGGACCAGGAATGGTATATGTATGGGCCGTATGGGGTTTAGCCGGTGTAATTTGGGCCTGGAACAGCATAGGCCGTATGGCGTCTCCATTTGGTGGGCTGAAGCCTGAAAGTATGTGCCATTGGCCTCACCACGGCGGCAGAACCTTGTAAGGACTAGGAGTGATTGCGGCTTCTTCTTCTTCTTCTTCTTCTTTTTCTCTGCCATTTTTCTTCATCACCTCTTGAATTAGGCTAGTTGAGAGCTCGATCGCTCTCCATTTGTAACGGGTGAACTTTAATTAGGGCGAAGGATTTTTAAGTGGGAAAAAATTGAGGAGTTTGAGTCCGAAAGAGTAATTCCTATGTAGATTTGTTGGATTGATTCAAAGTAATTTCGTCGTCCGTATTTTAGAGGAATTCTAGAATAAAATCTAACCTCATATTTTTCGACTTCGTTTGAGAATTGCGATGCAACTTATGTCTCTCCCTTCTCTCTCCAACTAATCACCGTAAAATCTTAATTTTCTGTATTTTTTTTCTAAGCTATCCAAACATCTATTTTGGGCAATTACCATGGGTTTGTTTCATGGACTCATTAAATTATTAAATCATGGTATCACAATCCTATGTTTTCCTTATTTCTATATTTCTTTTAATATTCATACGTTCTATGCTAGATTTAATTTAAATCCTTTATAAATCTTTAAAATTTCTCCGTTCCAGCGAGGCTCAAGATCTGACCTAGAAACTCAATTTCGCTACTGGGGGACGTGTGCACAAGATGGAATGGTATGCTTATTTCATTTCTTGTGAAATTTTGGAAAGGTTATGTAGGACTGATTTGAAGGAATTTTGTAGGATAGGAAAAAGTTGCTCCACATTTTTAGAAGAAATTTCTACCACAAAAGTTCTAACTATATTCATTCAAATTCCTTTTAGGGTTGCACTACAAGTTGTCTCTTTCTCTCTCCCTTTTCTCTCCATCAAATCACCGTACAATCATAAGTTTTCTGTATTTTTCCTTCTATCCCAACATCTACTTTGGACAATTACTATGGGTTTGTTACATGGAGTATTCAATAAATTATTAAATCATGATATCTCAATCCTTTATTTTTCATATTATTGTACTTTTCACAATCATGCATTCTATACTGAATTTAATTCAAATTCTTCATAAATCTTTGAAACTTCTCTGTTCCAAACGATGCCTAAGATCTGATCCAGAAGCTCAATTCCGCTGCTGGCCGACGTGTGCACAAGATGGATCAGGTCAGGGGTGAATTAATCAGTGATCTTATCTTGTCTGATAGTAGATTAATACTAGAGCATAATACTCCAACTGCAAGTTTATACAACTTAGACTCAAAACTGAAAACTGCACAATACTGCAGTTCTCACTTGGCACCATCATGTTGAGACCAATGATCTCGCGAGGAACTGATTTATGATGAATTTTGTTCACACAAATCAATGCTGTAATTAACTCAAATGAAGGCAAGAAGAAGAAAAAAAAAAGGAACTTACCATGGCAGAAAAGAACAGAAACAATAATTTGATCACTGAAAAGAAATGAAGAACCAACTCTACTGAAACTAAGGCAGCAACATACAGTTACTGAAAAAACTACTGCCATGAGAACGGCAGAGACGACGACGTGCCATCCGATGAGCCTTCGCCGCCGACGTGAAACATCCCATTGTAGTTCATCTCATTGTCATTGGAGCTCAGGACTGTGTTCAGCTGCTCGCTCTCCACCACCGGGCAGGAGAAACCGGCCGTCGAGACGACGACGGCGGTGGCGGCGGCGCCGGTGGCCGCCTGATGATGCGGCCGCGCCGCGAACCAGGCTGAGCTGCCGCCGCCGCCGCCGAACTGAAGGCCAGAGATGAGAGGCTGCGCCATGGGGATGTGCTCGGTCGGCTGGACGACCACCCGGCCACCGCCGACGTCGATGGCCGTGGAGTTCGCCGGAGCTGACAGAAGAGAGAGAGCACAATCGGAGTCGAGCACTTGTGTCAACCCACCATCGGAGAACATCTTGCCGCCGCCGCTGCCGCCGCCGCCATGAGGAGGAGGAGGAGGAGCTACCGTCTTCAGAAGTGGCTGGCACACTGAAGCAGCAGCAGCAGCTGCTGCCTGATCCATTGGCACGCCGCCGGCGCCGGCGCCGGTGCCGAAGCTGATCTCGCCTTCCTGGAGGAAAGGGAAGCGGCGGCCGCCGTCAGAGGTGGAGCCAACGAAATGCTGCTGCCTGCTGCTGATGCCAAGAGGGATTTGGTGGTGCGTGTAGTATGGGCTCTCCTCGGTTTTGATCATCCCTGTCCAGCTTGCCTCCGGTCTCGGCGTCGCGAACGGTGAGAATCTTGCCCCTGAATTTTGATGCGATGTTTGATATATCAGCACAAATTAGTACATAAGATATGGTTCAATGCATTAGATGTATACTAGAATGCATTACATGTTACAAGATGTCAGGATTGAAAGAACAGAGTCATAGCTGAACCACAGTTCTGAGAAACGCCCAGGGGTTTTCTGGCTAGCTTCAAAAGGTGATGGGCTAGACGACCTGGGTTCGAAGCCTCACTCCTTCTAATTATTTGATATTAGGTCATTCCCTAATATTTGCGTTTTTTTTTAACCACAGTTTCATTTTCTTTTACTTTTTTTTTACCATGACTTATCTATGCTATTAGCATGTTTCATAGTTTTTTTCCTAGTCTAACAATAGTTAGGAAGTCTGAATGACTATATCCCAGTTAATCTTATATGAACTGCGATATCATAGAGTGGTAATAATAAACAAGAAAATACCTTGTTGGCTTGCAAGATAACTTGCAGAGTTCATGGGATCTGGCTGTGGCTTCCTGCGGCGACGGTTGTGCCCATCTAGTCGCTTTCTACAGCTGCGCTTGGCCTCATCAAACTCCTGAAGCAAGTGAAACCTGAAGAAAGAAAAGCTTATGATCATTTAACTGCATTGAAATTAGCCAAATGATGCTTGAAACCCAATCCAGAAGAAGTAATTTAATCATTCAGTACCATGAAACCTTAAGAAATGACTGTACCTAGGATGTACGTCTTTTTAAAATTCTTACATGATAAAATACTCCTGAAACATGATCTGAAGTTTTGTAACGATGCACCACAGTTCTCACTAAAGAAACGTCAGGATAAGTATTCTCAGAATAATTTAATATACTGTCTCCATATTCTCTCTTAGAATACTCATATACCAACACAAGGGACCACAGGAATTTCATCAGTTAATTAGCTCTTTCCGTGCTTGGATACTTCATCTTAGATAAATTTATTGAACTGAAGTTCTGTCAACGGCAGAAAAATATTTTAACCCCACTTGTACATGGACCACAATACAGTGGATGTGGATCCATAGGTATAGAAAGCTAACATCTTGTTCTGACTCTGAAGATCACTTAATTTATAAAGTCTGCATGCAGCAGCATAATGATCTTCCCAGTTTGCAAACACTGACGAAGTAATCAAATCATTGAAAGACTGTCCCCACTGGGTAATGTGTATTCTCAGATAAAGAGATTTTTTGTATCATTCTCTTTTTAAAGATAAAGAGAATAATTGATGAGACAATCACATAAGCATCCTACAAGTTGTGCTACTGTGTAAAGGAGCACACCACAATAAAAAGTACTTAGTTGTTTGCTATGTCTCTGCAAGATAAAAAATGGTAGAGTCTGGTCTTATGCCAATATACCATGTATTACTTAAAACTGGCGCAAAGTGAAATAAGATGCAAATCCTTCTGACAATGTGCAGTTACATTTTATAAAAGAACTAACAGATAAAATAGGGAACTTTCAAGTTGAAAGGCAGGAAGGCATTCAGTAGGACAATATTGTACTAGTTCAAGGAGTGGACAACAAACTCCAAAGTAATTTTGTAAAGAGTATGTCTGACTAATTTGGTGCTATTATGTTAGTTCTGTTCACAGAATATCTCCATCTATGACCAATCTTGAGTATACATCTTTGTTCAGAAAACAGCAAGGTTAGAAGACTAGCTCAAAAGTTAGAAGTGGTGTTAGAAGTTTAGAGCTCTGATAAAAACAGGGGTCAAGGTGGTACTGAATCACCCTATGATACTCAAACGATGTAAAAAAAAAAAAAGATCTCACAGAACCTAGTACCAATAAGTCTGAAACTGGAATATAACAAATGAATGTAACTAAGACTGACTTTAGAAAAAAAATCTTTAAAAATTATAAGACAAGAAATCTCATCATTCTTTCATGCAATAGTGAGATCCAATCAGGGTGTTCAGGGCTCCATTTTTTTTCTTCTCCAATAGAGAGCACCCTGGCTATCTGTATCCACTGTGCTGGCTTGTAATGGCAATGCAAAACCCTTTCCAACAAACCGAGACATTAAAAGCTTCATATATGTGTGGCCCAACCTTAGGAACAGAGGTGTAAATGGTGAACTTGTAGTAGGGCTACATGGTCCTTTCCCTGTACAGGGGTGCTTTAGTGCAGATCACATCCACAAACTCTCTCTTTCAGTGGTACAACCATCTTTCTAGGTTTGGGCATCCACATCTGCCTTTCCCTTCCAAAACAGACGGCGTAGTAAGTGGTAGTAGTAGCTAAGCTAAGGTAGCTTAGCTCTCATGGCAAGAAGCAGCACAGCTCAGTCAGATATATGTGGTAGGCCAGCTGCCTTGAGGAGAAATCAGAAATTCAGAAAGCAAGCAGGGTGTGTGTCCCAGTATGCATATGTTCTTCCAGTTTCGATGCCATAGTTGAGGAATCAATCAATCGATAGCTAGCCCCCACGCGAAAAAACATCGACAGGGAGAAGTGCAAGAACCAAGTATTGTTAACCACTAAACCAGGTGCTACCGTGCTAGTAGTGTCACTAATTACAGTGACTATATTTATTTATTTATTCATGAGAAAATTAGTTAGTACTGAACTAGGTGCTGATTTATTGTTCTTGTTAGAGGAAGCAGACGGTCATATTCAGACAGGAGGACACTGAAAATAATATCATAACAGTCTGGTGGTAAATTGCCTAATGTGATCTCTGGCTGATGAGATTCAGGCGTCAGTTCTGTTTTTTTTTTTTTCTCTCCCTCACTTTTTTTTCTGTCTCTATCACTTTTTTTTCTCAGTAAGCAACAAACACTGAACAACTACAGCAGCTGCTTTGCTCTTGAGCAGTGCAAAAACAGTGCAGCTACTGGTGAAGAAGAGATATAAAAAAGAAAAGAAAAGATGATAGTAATAAATCTAAAGGCGAGCAAAGAGGTAATAATTTGGGGTAATACGAGTTGCCGAGCTAAAGGATAGCATGAGGGAAGGCTGAAAAGGCATGCCATTAAAGGCAAAGCTGTGCGTCCCTGAAACGAGACAGCCGGATAGTATGCTCCCAATGGAAAGGAAGTAAGAGACAGATAGATGATGATGAACAAAGTCCGAGGCTGGATGAAATGGATCAATGAAATTGTGCTTTGCAGTACTGAATTAATTTTGATCCGAAGTAGCGTAGAAATTAGAATCAGTAGATGCAGATGCATGTACTGCACAATGGTCAGTTGCAACTGGAAGCAAGAAGAGATTGTGCAAAGCCAAAAAAAAAAGGAGCAAAAAAAAGAGAAAAACTCTTGCTTATCTTCTTTTTCTTTTGTTCAGCAAAGAGAATGATCAGAGACAGTGACGCTGAAAAGAAGTGGAGAAATTGATATATGCAGTTCTTGATGCGAATTGCCATGACGTCTTGGGGTGTTTTGGGCTACGATTTTTTTTTTGTTTTGCAGTGAATTTGGCGGGAAGGAAGGAGACAATGGTTGGGGGGGGGGGGGGGGGGTTACCTGCTGCACTGCTGGCAGAAGCGCATCTCGCGGCCGGAGACGACGACGAGGGGGGTCTTGGAGTGGGCCTCGCACACCTTGTGCCGGCGATGGTAGTCGCGGCACTTGCTCAGGTCCTCCTTGCACCCGTCCACCGCGCACGACGGGCACTGCTGCTGCCCCGCCGCCGCCGCACCGCGCGGCCGCTTCGCCGGCGCCGACGACGCTGCTGCTGCTGCTCCCGTGGCGGCGGCCGCTGGCCCCTTCCCCTTGGCCGGCTCGCCCGCCACGGCGACCCGCGGCTGCGCGCCGCCGCCGCCGAACTCCCCCAACCCGCCGAGCTTGAGGTCGACCGAGCACTCCTGCCTGCCACCACCCCCCGCATTGACGCCGCCACCAACCGCAGCCGATGACGACGATACCGCCGCCGGTACACCCCCGCCGCCGCTGTTCTCCAGCTCGTCGGCTAGCTCCCAGCTCGCCGCCGGCGGCATCTTGAGATCCCACTCCATGGCCGCCGCCGCCGCTCGCTGTAGCTCAGCTTAGCTCCCGCGTAAGCTTGAGCTGTGTGTTGACGCACGCACACACTGGTGTCGCTTTTCTTGGCTGGCCTCCTCACTCTCGATTCCGTGGCTGTCTCTTTTGCAAGCAGAGATCAGATCACCACTCGCATTATTAGTAGGACAAACACATCTCTCCCCCTCTCCCTCTACTGCTTACTAATTGCCATCACAAGTTAGATGCGACGTAATCACATCATTATTACACCCCCCTTGAAAAAAAAAGGCTTTAGGTTCTAAGGAGCAGCATGTTATGTTACGTATCTGGTTGGTAAGTTACTACTGGTTTGTTTCTGGATTCTGTAGCTACTTAGACTTTATTAGAAGATTCTCGCAAGAGTCTTTAACTATTCTGTTTACGAGAGCTGAAGATTCCGAGATTACCTTAGAGGTTAGTTTCAGAGTTGATAGAGATCTGTCTATCTATATAACTAGACTCTAAGGAGAGGGGGATTATGTAGAGTGAGAAAGGTATATATGATTTCTAGTGGAATAAGGAAAGTAGGAGTAGTGGCAAAGATCTTGGAGCAACAATACCAAGGCCCAAGAGGGCAGGAACTGGGGGTAGTCAGTTACTCAGTACTTGCAAGAAACAACTGGGGGCTGTAGTGAAGGATGGTGTAGGGGAGTAGTGTGTAACTGTGTACATGTAGTATTCATGTACTGTGCAGTGCTATTATTTGCTGGGTTTCTGCTTCCCTTGCAACCATTCAATCCCTGGCAGGCATTTTTGAAGGATGAGCAGTAGTAGTAAATGGTGAAGAAAGGGGGGGTTGGCCGGGCCCTGCAGGGACCATATGCATGCTTTGATCTTTTTGCACTGCCATGGAAGGGGGGCTTGTGGTGCTTTGTGCTACAATTATTGAGGTGAAAGGTTGTGTTTTTAAAGCTCAAGGCAATACCATCCATTCCATTATTAATTTGACCTTTTCTCAATTATACTCCCTCCGTCCAAAAAAAAATCAATCTAGAACCGAATGTTGGCAGCTAGATTTGTCTAGACTCATAGTACTAGAATATATGAACATTAGGTACTAAGTTGGTTTTTCGCGGGATAGAGAGAGTACTTGTTTACTCTCATTTCTTAATAACCAAGAATTTCTATTTTTCATTTAATTTTTGACCATTAATTGCTCTCAAATTGTTGGACTATAAGTGAATAAAAGTTTTACCTCGCTTTAATAACATGATATCATTTGTAGTGTTTGTAATATTAGGAAAAAAGATAAGTGGTTAAAGTTTAAAAGAGAATAGTATCAATGTCAGTTATTTTAAAACAGGTGGGGTATATTTTTTTTCCCTCAGGAATAGTAGCAGATTTTTTTTCCCTTCTTCTTCTGATGAATGCGTTATAATACTGTTGTTGAGTGCTGTATGAATAGAACAGGTTTAATTATCACCAAACACCGGTTGTTGTTGTTGTTGCTTCAGCAGCCTAACCACCTTTCTGCCTGAGAAAGCTTAAAATAATCCACACATCAACTAAAGCAAATCAAAGCCGACAGATTGTTTCCAAGTTTGGTCATGCCTGAACCACACATTCTGCCTCCCTCCATTTTAAAAATCTCAACTTTCTTAATTGCCAAACTTGCCTCTGCACTTGCACCCATTATTTTTTTAAGTCCAATATAGAAACAATCGCACTTGCACCCATTATCCGAAAAGGACGCAAAAAGATATAGAAAAGACTCTTGCTCCTAGTCTAGCTAGCGAGTTTTTCTTTGTTTAAGCTATGAGTTGGGAGGATATACATAAACGTGATATTAAGCTAGGAGTTACATGTACTGACTAGTCTAACCCCAAAAGTTATTAGTTGAGCTTGGTCTTATAGAAAATGAATGACAAAAATAATTTGAGATAGGACTCTTATAATTAAAATCAGCTCTAAAATTAAGATTTAAATTTTAAATTCAAGCTCTAGTTACAAGACAATTGAACAACGACCAGCCAAACAAGCGTCAACCGAAATTCCTCAAATCTTTTGATTTCGGATACAATATTGAGTTGTATGTGTCGACCAGTTCAATAAAAGGTAAAGCTGACAGAAGAATGGCAGAAAATTTATTTAAGCTCAGAGAATTCGGTTTCTTTTTCATGTACAGTAGGATGAAGAAAAAGATGAGAGAATGATTAATTTGATTTGGTTTGGTGTGGGCATGGGAGAGAAGGAAGGTGGTGGTTTGGATGGGAGGCAGGAAACAAGACCTTTGAGTGACATGGGGCTTGTTTGTTTGCTCTTTTTAGGCCTCCTTGCAGCCTTTTCATTTCAGTATAGTAGGCGATAATGGCTGACATTGCACTGCCGTGTGATTACACACAGGTCATCAGTCATGGGAGGATGATTGGCCATGTGAAGGTCATCTTTCCTGCTGCTAGCTCCTTTCCTTTTTTTTTCTTTGGATTGCATGCATGCTTCTCCCAACTTTCCCATGCTATAAGAGAATAATATTATTACTGTGGTAAAATGTTTTTATAGGATTTTTACTAGTAATATTTCTTACTGGTTACTAGATTAAATCTTCGAGATTGCGGCTTTTGTCGTCTGCTTGCTCAATTACCGACATCAGCAAACTTTCCAATTTAAAAACTCAAAATTAGAGTTAATTTTGTTATTTTATTATAGTATTTTTGTAACAATGTTTTAAATTGTTACTAATCTCGTAAATTATAATTGGTTGCTTCGCTCATCTACTATGACTTATCGGTCACTTAACCTGTGCAACTTTTGCATACCAATGGTTTTCTTTACCCCTTTGTGATTGGAGGGGAGAGGGGATTCGATAACAATGTTAGGTCATGTTCTTCATAAAAGGTTAGGAACTAATTCTTTTACACATAAAACGGAACGATTCATTAGTACATAATTAGTTAAAGGCATTATTTGAAAGCTAATTAAGGAGCTGATTTATCCTGAGACAGGGGGATATAGTGTGTTTGTGCATGATTTACTCTACTCGGGTGCGCATCCTCTGCCTTTGTGGACAAAGGCAAAGTTTGCCGTTGCCTCTATCCAGGCCATCCATCGCGAATTGACGGCTGCATGGCTTGGCCTCACTTCATTGACTAGCTAACAACCTAATTAGTAGATAAATTATCTAGAGTATTGATGAAATCGCATAGTAAATTTGCTGATGAGACAGGAATCAACATATCTCGGCGCTAGATCATGGGACAAGCTCAGTTGCTTCTTCATTAGATGTGGAGTGTATTGTATCTCTTTGATTTATAAGTGCAAGACTAATTACCACTTAACTAATAATATCATGAGCCAATTGCACATCTAAAGACTTATAGACTAATTACCACTTAACTAATAATATCATGAGCCAATTGCACATCTAAAGACTTATATATAAATTTACGTATTGTTAAAAACGTAAAAGGGAATCAGTGAAAAATCAGACCACAAATTAGGTGTATTAAGCGATTTGATCAATAGCATACAGTTGATTTTATCCGCTAATTAATTGTGTTGTTAACTAGCCAAAGAAGTGGTGCCAAGCAATTCAGCCGTTTGATCCACGGTGGATGGCCTGGATAGAGGCAACGGCAAACTTTGCCTTTATCCACAAAGGCAGAGGATGCACACCCGATTTACTCTTGCATTGTGGGCGTTACAATTGGCGTGCACGTACTACACCAAAACACGCCGACGTGCGAGACGAGTTACGATCGAGTACGTGCCCTTCCATGCGATCTATCACCATCAAATCAAACCGATCGCCGACCATAGACGTACGGATCCATGCGTGCATCCACAACCGATCGACCAGGCACCACACTACAACTATATATTACTCATGCTATATATGTACGACCAAACTGTACCACTAGCATCCGACCACGTCTCACACACCAATACTTACGCTCGGTTTAATTTTCTTTATGTGAGTGTAGGAAAACACTTTTGCTATACATTTATCAACAGATATAATATAATTGTAACGTAGCTAGATCGTAACCTGTATGTAACTACAATATAACTTGATGTAACTTTCAGAAATCTTGCGATAACATGCTATTTCTGCGAAGCGGAGGTCACAGGACCAAATCCCCTCACTTTTGTGTGCTTTGTGATTTTTTTTCATCCCCTATTTTAAAGCAAATCTAACGGTTTTAAAATTATATGAAATTTGCATACAAGTTACATTATAAATATATGCAAGCTAGAATATAATTACACTACTATTGTAATATATTTACATCTGATAAATTTCTAGAAGGAGTTTTATCAACAAATGTATAGATAGTTCCGTAGAAAAATAATAAATTTGTCTATACATTTGTTGAGTCGAAAACTAATGAGTGCTTCCTCCGTTTCATATTATAAAACTTTCTAGCATTGTCCGTATTCATACATATGTTAATGATTCTAGACATATATGTGTGTCTGGATTCATTAACACCTATATAAATGTGGACAATGCTAGAAAGTTTTATAATATAAAACGAAGGGAGTAATTAATATGACACTGGTCGTACGGAATTTTGTCGGTGTCACCGGCGACGGCAAGCCTTGCCGCCGGTGACCCCAAGCTTGTGCCGCCACCGCCACCGGCGGCCGGCCAGGTGTAGGGTACGTGAGGTGTTTGGTGTTTTGTCTCCGGCGACAGCCAGCCGCCGGCCACTGCGAGCGTGACGCGTGTCCATATCCCACAGCATCTCCGTACACATACGGGGTGACGTCATCCACAGCTAGCGCACCCGGTACCGGTAGTACTACCGCCGCGCGTACGTCGAGCCAAATAAAAACGAGAGGTGGTCCCGTGGATCGGATCCGGGCCGTCGATCGCGCCATCGACGGTGTCACGTGGATCTTCCAATCCTACTACTAGTATAGTACGTGTCGTGTCTGCGTGCTGCTGGATGTTTTCCTACTTTCCTTTGGTCCAATCGCTATCCAATTCAGCATCCAGCTAGCAGCTTAGCTTTTGCAACGACAAGGTATTATTTCGTCAACTTGTGTGCACGTTTGTAGCTATAGCTTTGGGCTCAATCGATCACGACGTACTCTACTACACTTTACATAAGGTGGCCAAAGAGAGTGGTACTGCTACACCAAAGTGCAGCTATAGCTATTTTTTGCTGCTGTTGGCCATGTTTGTATGCAGGGATGATTTCAGTAGGAAAAAAAGTTCACTTCTTGTAGTAGTTCAACATAGCTAGAAATGCTCTCACATTTCGTAGATGGGGCCTAGATGATGCTTGGAGCCTACATTTCATAGGTAGAGAAGAGAGAAGATTAAAAAAAAGAAAAAAGTATATATTTTTTTTGAAATTTTAAGGTAGAGATAATTAAGAAAAGATAAAACTAGAGAGAAAAAGATGTTTTTTAATTTTTTTTTCCTATTTGACTGACATGTAGATTCTTATGACACATACTCACTCCGTCCAAAAAAAAACTAAACCTAGGAGGGGGACAATGAATCTGGACTACCCTTTGTCCAGATTCGTTGTCCTTAAACTAGGAAGGATCAAATTCCCTCCTAGGTTGAGTTTTTTTTGGACGGAGAGAGTATGTGTCACCGTGGCATGTCACATCAGCGCACGGAGTGAGATGGAGCCTGTTTGAACATGTATGATATCCAAGAAAAGTTTCGGGATACGGATATGCATTTTAAGATTTCATGGATCTAAACGTAAAAGTTTAGAAACAGTTCATATACTTCACTCGAGATCAGATTCATTTGGTGCTACCTAATTAATTAGGCTGAGTA